CGGATCGCAGGTCGCCGTTTTGCTAGCTTTTAGATCTGCCCGCGAGTGATTTTTTTTTTTAATTCGAAAAATCAGGGGATTGCCAAGCGTTCGAGACGTAGGGGGCTCTGCCCGAAGAGACTACAAGAGTCGAAGAGGCTATATGCCGAAGCGGCCCCTTAAGAAGAGGGCAACTACGATGGCCTTCCATTCTTTCGAATGGGCAGTCATCCATTTTTTTCGCCACGTTGTCCCTCTCATTTTTTGTATATCCTTCCGTCTGGATTGACGGGAAGAGACGGTGAACTAGCGTTTTCATGAAATTTTCTCGAGTCTGCATTTAAGTAAGATAAATACATTAGATTTTTGTCACGCCAAGTAATGTATAATTGAATACATTTTTACTGGGTCAATTATACGAGATCGATGCATTGCAAAATATTCTTGACTTTAATGGTAACTTTAGTAAGTTATTAGCTCTTGTATCACCGTCTCTTTCTCGCTTTCCCAATGGTTTCGTTTGTGCCTTCGTGTTCCCTTTCAGCTTTAGGTGGACCACTTCGGAGAATCTGGCGACTTCCTGGTGTTTCTTCAATGTTCCGTTTTACCTGTACTTTTGTGCCCCTTTGCAGGTTTAGGTGGATCACCTGGAAGCAGCCATTTTTGGTAAAATCATCATGGGCAGTTAACACGTTGAGCGCGGAACCGATTTTGCTGAGCTTTCCGTTTGGGCGGCACAATTTTTTATATATAGGATTCTTGATGCCGTGTCAGTCCCGAGGGACCGACGCCGCCCAGACAGAAAGTTCACTGTCGGTCCCCAGGGACCGACGCCGCACTCAACGTGTTAATCGAAATCCAGCTTGCTGCACTTGTTGGTAGATGTTAAAATATGTTAAAGGATGTTTGTGAATTTTTTTCGCGATGCGAATTGCCTCCACGATAGCTTGATGGGGAAGGTTGTTCGATTTAAATTGATCCACATTGGTATGCAAATGCTCATTTGACATCGCCTTGCCTCTTTTGCGCTCGTGTTCAGATGTGTACCCATCTTTAGAGGTAAAAGGCCGATATTTCATTATTCTGTAGCGTCGGGCGATGAAGCGAATGATAGGTTTTGATTGGCCGCAAAGGACGTAACGACGGAAGTGTTCCTATACCGCTGTTTCTCTGCAGCTAATCGGAAGAGCTCTCATCCGCACCGTCGCGCCACTCCCTCGGAATAACTAAACATCGACCAGAGGGCCGTAGAATATCCCAAATAAAGGAGCGGACTCGATTGTTAAATCGATTTATTACACGCATTCTCGGTGTTCCCCTTTCCCGGAGAGGAGAACGCCTCTCCTCTCTCGCGCTCGTCTCCCTCCAGGAGGCGGCCCTCTCGTCCCGTCCGCTTCCTCGGTACCCGGATCGTCGCGCTCGACGAGGTCGGCGCTCTTGTCGGAACGTTTCGGGAGAAAGAGGGAGAAACGCGGCCCAGATCCGCATTTCCGGAAAAGGGACGACGCTAAGCGCGCCCCTGGCGGCGCCTCACTAAACAACGTCTCGCGAAGAAACAGGGTACATCTCTTTATAAGGACACGAGGTCGCGATAAAACCCGCTTGCTTCTTTGCTCCGTGACGCGAGCACGAGTTGTGTGTACACTTCTGTGCTTGCGATGTGCACGCGATCCTCCGTGCCTTGCGTGTATCGGTACGCGATTACAGCGCCACCGCGGCGAGCTCGGATACTAACGAGGTCCCTGACACCAATTAGGCGCGACGCTAGGCAATACGTACGGCGGGTCGATGAGAGCAGCTGTCGACGTCGCGACGCTGACCCGACGTCGATTCGATGACGGTTGGAGGTTCCGCATGACGATAGCGAGATCGCGACGTCGACTCGATTGCTCTGAGCGTTTCGCGCGACGATAGCGAGATCGTGACGCTGATTCGATGACTTTTAGGCGGTTCGCGGGGCGATAGCGAGATTTCGCGACGCTGACTTTGATGACTTTTGCTCGTTTTATACGATTAATCGAGGTCGGGACCATCGACTCGATGACTATACATGCGATGGAATCGAGTGGTAGCGACGATAACCCAATGACTTCTCGCGCATCATCGACTGGGGTGGATGATTTCGATCAGCCAAATTGAGACACTAGCTAGATGACACGTGTATCAATGGATGCGGCGAAACCGATTGCGCAGGTCGCGACGATATCCAAACGACTTCTCGAGTATCATCGACCGAGTTGGAATTAATCGGCCAAATCGCGACGCTAGCTCGATGACTTCCGGCGTCGATGGATGAAATGAAACCGATCGGTTAGATCGCGACGATGTTCCAATGACTTCTCGCGTACCATTGACTGGGTTGGAATTACTCGGTCAAACCGCGACGCTCAATGACTACTCGCACGTTAACATCCAGGCCAGGTCGCCGACTCGATGACTACTCGCGCGACGTCAGGTGCAAATAAAACCGATCGATCGGGCCCCAAGGATGACCCGACCACATCCAAGGCGTCACCGCCGTGCCAAAGTTAACCAGCACCGGACCCTCCGTCCGGTCTCGGCCGCGTCGAGCTTAAAACGATGACGACCAAATACTCCCAATGACGATTTACGACTCTTATCTCCTACTATCACGCACGCATCAGCCCTTTCCGAGCATTCGCCAGGAGTCGCGCGATGACTCCGTCGAAGACACGGTGCACGCGCAGGCGATGACTACGGCGACTACGATGACTACGATGACGACGACGACGATGACGACGGCGACCACGCCGACGACACTCTCGCTTCACGTGCCATCGGCCGTGTCAACGTAAATGCGCCAGGGGTCGATCGATCCGCGCCGACGACGATGACGACGATGACGACGATAACTTGGATGACGACGAGGCGTCATCGTCAGACTCGCCTGGTCATTCCTATCCGTCGAGGGCGAGCCGCGGCGAACGGACGACGACCCCGACGACGAGTTCCGATGACTTGAACGACTCGGATGACTCGGATGACTCCGATGCGGACGTGACGACTTCCTCTTCACCGCTCTCACACGGGCCAGCTGACGTCGGCACTCCCCGTGCCAGCCGAGGCGGGCCCGGACTCGACCCGCGGCTCCGACGACGGCCTCTCTTGCGATCGCGCTCGCAACGTGCCCGCCACGTTCGTTTGTCTTAACCCGCAGTCGACTTTTTTTTACCGACGATTCACTTCGTCGACGACCGTGCTCCCCGGCTCAGGGTGGCCGATCACAGGATCACGCAGCACCGGCAGTAGCGCTGCGTCGAGGCCCCCGCACTGGGTGGCGGGGTCACCGGGGCGAAGTACGCGTGGACCTTGATGTTCGGCAGGTGCGTCTGCAATCGGAAACAAGAAAAGGAAACCCGTGTACACCCCGCTCAGCTGTGCCCACCCTGGAACGCGCACGAGCCGTTGATCTCCTCGACGAGAGAGAGGCTCACGGGGGTTATTTGCGCCCTTTTTCGCAGCCACCCGAAAAGGGTTTACGATCAGACGTTAAGATGATATGAAAGGCGCCGAGAAACTTAATCGAGGTCGATGAATTCAAATTCATCGATACTCTTTTTGGTGGCAACGCCATTTTGAACACTCTAGGGGTAACATAAGCTGGCGCGTCCCGTTACCGACATTTATGTTGAAGTCTTTTACAGTATACGTTGAGAATTATACGAACTGAAGCGCTCCATATGTCATTTCGATTAAGTAATGACGAAGAGGTCGAGGTAAAACTGTCGAAATCCCGTGAATTCATTATTCTAAAGACTGTTTAGGACCAATTTCGCCATCTGTGGCGATCAGTTGCAACTAAATTTATGCTCTAAAAACCCATGTTAGCCCCGAGACAAGCCAGCATTCTCTTGCAATCTTTGGTGATAGTATTTTCCACATTTTCCCATGTGATTATGTAATATTCCATTTCTACGGTATTCTAAATTGTTCGAGCTAGGTCCTGAAACTTTTTCCAGCTTCCAAGAAGGGTAAAACATCGAAAACGTGCACGGACCACGCCATGCTGGCTCTAATCCATGAAATAAATTAATGTTTCATGAATAATGTAATTTCATAAGTTTCAGGATCTAGCTTTGTACCCTCCATATTTATATTGCAAAGTTTGAATCGATTCAGTACGCCCTGATTGGGGAAAAATTTCATGAATGGGAACTCTTCGACGCCACTTTCACATCACTTTAAGGTGAACACAAGGACCCCCTGGGGTTCTCTTTCTCACTCGTCGTGGTTCCTAAAACGTTGGAGAATACGTTTATGCGCATTCCAGAATGAAAATAGTTCAGTGGTACACCATCCCCCTGAGCCCGCTTCTTACTACCGCCAACCCCTCCTACGGCGTGTAACGAGATTTTGTAAAAAAAAAAGAAGAAAAAGAAAAAAAAGAAGTGAAATTCTTGCAGTAGCAGCGCCATTCGCTTTCAATATACAGCGACGAATATCGTTACATGAGAATCATCGGTCAACCGCTGAAGAATAGAATTTGATTTGAGATTGCGTTTCTTAGGACCTTAACGTTATTGCAATGCTTCATGTCCTTGAATTACGGTTACTAAGTTATTTTTTTTCAGTCTTCACGAAATTTCATTTGTTAGCGTTATTCCAATGCTTCATTTTCATGCCCTTGGATTACGGTTAACTTAGTTTTTTTTCAGTCTCCACGAAATCTCATTTGTTAGCATTATTGCAATGCTACATGACCTTGGATTACGGTAAATTTAGTTGTTTTTTCTTTTCATTCTACATAAAGTTTCATTTGTTAACGTTATTGCAATGCTTTATGTCCTTGGATTACAGTAAACTTAGTTGTTTTTTTTTTTCAGTCCCCAAGAAGTTTCATTTGTTCCGAGTGGCGCTGCGATCGTAAAGCCGCAAACACGGCGTCCGACCTGGGAAACGAATATCTCTCGGACGTAGCTTTCGTGTAAAACGATTATTTACGCAACAGCGTGTAATTTTCTGAATGATTATATGTTCATAATTGAATCGTAATCCCAATATGATTTACCGGATAGTTTGAAACTTTACAACGTGAATAGGTAAACTATAAGGTAGGTCCTGAAACTCATGAAATTTCAATTCTTTTCAAAATTTGTTTATAGGTATTTTAAAAATAGTTTAGAAAAAATGAAATTTCGCGAGTTTCAGGACCTACCTTAGGGTCTCCGTATTCAAGTTTTAAAGTATGAAACGATTTGAGACACCCAGCTCGTAGAAAAGTTTTATGAACGATTGAGCTTTCGGATGCCACTTTCACATCCCCTTAAGTAGAATCATCCGTGATCGTCTAATTGTAAGAGACATTACTCTAAGCCTGCGTATGCCGGCTCGGGTGATCAGTTGGCAATCGTAGAGCTCGATGCGCTGAAGATTGTGACAAGCCTGCAACAGGTGGTCCAGACTAGCGTCCGTTATCAGGGGACAGTTGTCCAGCTCCAGAACGGCCAGGTGCTCCGAGGCGCAGGGCGACAGGGCCAGCTGCCTGATACCCTCGTCCGTTATCAGCTCGCAATGCGATAGGCTCTGCAAAGCCGAGAAATATGAAAGGAAAATGAAAAACAAAAAAAAGTCCGGCACAATATTGTCAACGCTACCGTTTTTTTTATCTCTCTGTAACCTAACATTGTTCTGAGCCAAGAAATAACCGTTGACGAGAAATTCGTAAATATTAACCTCTTGACATGAACTACTTGTTCATCAATTTACAATTTTTATATGGAGTCGTACATCCGTACATGTACCTTCGTACACGATTTCTCTATGAATTCTTGTAGATCATCTCAACAAATTCATGCAGGAAAGATTTCGACATTTACTGTTCATGCCCTCTGAAATTCGTATACTCACACACTAAAACCCCAAACATAGATCTATACAAAATTTCGAAACACCGTACCTTGAAAAACCTTCGACTACGCGTGTACTGTAATTTGACCAGATATTTTTCACCGTGCAAGTGAACCCAGTAAAGTCACTAAAATGCCGAAAAGGCAGTCGAAAACAACAGAACTTTTTAAACTACCTGAACATAGAATTTCGGCCATTCCTGCACTTAAACCAGAAAGCGTAAATCTAGGTAGTACAATGTTAGGTTCGCGATTAAAGGGACTTTTTAGCAACTCGAAGAAACATTTAGACGGTAAAGGAAACGGCTTCCGATACTCACTAGTTTCTCTAACCTTGGACAGCCCATGGCCAGGTGTATCAGTGTGGCGTCCGTTATCAGTACACACTCCTCCAAGTCCATTTTCTCCAGCAGTCTACAATTCTGCAAGGCGGTAGGAATAATAAAACGCTTAATAAAGTCCGTATACATTATTAAGGTGATATGAAAGGCGCAGGGAAATTTAATCCAGGTCGACAAATTAAAATTCATCTATACCGGCTTTGATGGCAACGTTATTTTGAATGCCCAAGTGGTAACAAACTGGCACGACCCGTTACCGACATTTATGTTGAAGTCTTTTACAGTATACGTTGAGAATTATACGAACTGAAGCGTTCCATATGTCATGTCGGTAAAGTAATGATGAAGAGATCGATGTAAAACTGTCGAAATCCCGTGAATTCATTATTCTAACGACTGTTTAGGCCCAACGTCGCCATCTGTGACGTTCAGCTGCAACTAAATTTCTGTTCTAAAAACCCGCGTTAGCCCCTAGGCAAGCCAGCATTCTCTTGCAATTGTTGGTGAAAGATTGTCATGATAAATAAATACATTTTTCATGACAAATGAAATTCCGTGAGTTTTCGAATCCACTTTAGGGCCTCCATATTCTCGGGGTGAAATTTGAAACGAATCGGTGCACCTAATTTGGAGAATACTTTCCCTAACGATTGGACCGCTAAGATATATAGGCTGACTCTTTCATATCACCTTAGTTCCGGAGATGTATCAGAATCGATGTACTCACTCTGGCGAGGGCTTGGAAACCAGCGTCCGTGAAATGCGTACATGCTACACACTCTAGGACACTCAGAAGGGGACAGTGTTGAGCTAACGTGCATAAAGATGCATCCGTCAAATTGGGGCAGTTCGAGAGGCACACATAGTGCAGTCTAGGACAACGCTCGCTCAATTCCCGCACAGCGTCATCCGTAATGTTCTGCAGAGGGAAGGAGACAAAAATGAATACATATGGACATTAAAATATATATACTGCTTCTAAAATGTCATTCAACATATCCGGCAAAGAATTCCGAAGTCTCCATAGAAATCCAGAAGGATACGAACGTTCGACGCTCGACGAATAGTACGTTGGCCAACGGATGGCGGCGCTGTAGTCATCTCTCCAGCTCTCTTATGGCGATTATAGCGAATTGCATTCTTTCTTTACCTTACTTTGCTTTGTTAGCCAACTTTTAGAGGATCAAGCGCTAACATAGGATCTGGGCTTCCATGGGACTTCTGAATTCTTTGTATCCGGACAGCAGACGGAAATTCGTAACTATTTGAAATGCGAAGATTCACGTAATACACATTAACCCTTTCGATACGATTATGCATTTCGCCAGTATTATTCCGTTGTACAAATTCTTGAATCACAAATACATCGCTACGACACGGGCCAGTTAGAAAGTTCTGACTACTAAAGTTCACTATAGTCAAAAAGTAAAAAAGTTAATGGAAAACAAAGTCAAAAAGTTTGACTAACTTGGGAATCAATGGAAAATTTTAACAGGTGATTATAGCCGCTCGTAGTATCGAAAGGATTAATGCGCATCAATATGTAAAAGAGACTCGATATGCGACATACTCGCACAACAGATAGTAAACGCGTTAGTTAAAACATATTTACGTATTACGCATTAATACATATTTGCAAGGACAAGTGCTAATGACATCACACGAAATATTCATTTTTCTTTTATCATCTGTACTGACTTTCATCCATTTAACGGGGGAAATACATATCGAAGTTGATTCTCTTAAGAAGTCTTGTAATATTGAGATTTTAAGTCGTTCAATTACGAAAACGTATGTTTTCGTTCGTGCGTCAAATTAACACGTGTCCATAGTGGTAGATATTTAACCCTTTTAGTGCCGGGCGAAAAAGAGGTGCTTATGCGAAGATAACCGGCCGAATTTTACGATTTTACTAGGATTTGGAAAAAGGCTCATAAACACCAAACGAAAAGCAATATTTACATAATTCAAAAAGGAGGGTATTAAGGACAAAATAGAGAATAAAACAGTGACGCTAATTTTTCTATATTCATTGAAAATTACATAAATAACAAAGGTATAAATGATCAAAAAAAAAAAAGAAAAATTGAGTTCTCCGTTTCAAAACGTAATTGCACATAGGAAAAGTCATCTTTTTATCATAAATTTATATAGACCGTATATTGCAAAGTATATACTTTAAATTTCCAATATATTTTTTAACAAAATAAGTAATATTGCACAAGAAACATAAAAAAATGGTAGGCGCCGGACGGATTATCTCATCCGAAACAAGTAATTGTTATAGGTTATAGGTTGTTATAGGTGTTGTTATATCGTTATTTTAATTCTCTCGTAATGAAATCAGACTATTTATAACGTATTATAAATTCATTTTGAGATAGAGATCTCTCGCAAAGCGAATAGTAAAGCGCTACAAAGTGCGCGCCGATATATTGGCTCTGGCACTTTTCGCCGGTGCAGCGAGGGCCGATATATCGGCCTCCGGCACTAAAAGGGTTAAGAAATGTCCGTAAACTAGGTGTTAATTAGAACAGATCTGACCGGCTGTAGTGTAGCTATAGCCTGAGGCCAACCACAAACATCGGACAACCTGACCAGGTTACCGGATCAGGCTACTAAAAGATTAGGTTTTTTCACTGGTTCGGTCACCCGGCGCACTGTCTATACAACCAAACCGGATGTCAGGGTTTTTCACCGAACGTCAGGTTTAGGTTTACGTTCAAGTTTATCGGATATCCAGTGCCGAAGGAGTTCATCCGGCACACATGGAACAGGACTAACGGAGATAAAATCGTTGTTAATGAAATAGTCTTATAATGGCCGCAGCGAGCAAAGGTTGCGTGCAGCAGAATATCGTTGTCTGGGTCCTGGGGGTGGATCCTCTTCAGGACTATAAACATATTAACACTTTGCGGTCGTATTTACCCAAGACCAAGAGAACTTTGGTGGCTGAGAGTAGACATACGACTGCAAAGAGTTAAACGTTACTCAGAACTAAATAACAATTAAAAGTAACTACATCTATCACTGTACATAGTTACTAAAGTATATGTAGTCTTCGCAACATTGTTAACGATCCGTATGTTTTACAGTCCCGTGTTTCTTTTCATATTTGGAGCCGTTCTTCATTTGTTAATACAGGGAACATGGATAATTGAAAGAAAAAAAACTGCGTACCGGGATAAATAGTGCCGATTCTTTTTCCGTTAAAATTGCCCTACGCACAGGCGACATAAGAATGTTTAATGGGTAAGTGAAAAAACAAAAAAAAGGTCAGCACGTTACCGTTTAGTAGGCGAGTATCTTCTTGGGACAACAATGCTAACAACGGACATTTCCGCCTCAGGAAACTCAAACGGGCCGTCCGCCCTGTTGCAAAGACTAGACTACCATGCCGCAAGTCGGCAGTTAAATGCATTTACAATAACTCTGAAAGTCTCCCCAACGGAAAGTATAGAGATAATCTGGAATCATCCCAGTAACTCCTGTGATAATACCGTAGAATAAGAGATAGTTATTAATTAATATCTATGGTTCCGAAGAGGGTCCACCCCGGGACCAAAACGTAACGCCATGGTCCCACCAAAACCTTTCTTCGCTGTGGACCATTGTAGGACCATTTAATTATCAACTTGCTGATCCTCGGTAGTTGGTCGATGATTAAAATCGTCGTACTCTGCACTCGTGGAGGTTGATGGCCTCGAGGTTGGGGCAGTAACGAGCGAGGCACTTGACGGCCCTGTCGGTGAGCTGGCGACAGCCCTTGCTGAGGAAGCTCCTGAGCTCGGGGCAGCCCCTGGCCAGGGCCTCGACGCCGTTGTCGGTGATGAGCTCGCACCAGGAGAGATTGATGTGCGTCAACAGGGGACACCCGTCCGAGAGGCTCTTCAGGGAGAGGTCCGTCACCTCGGGGCAGGAGTCCAGGTTGAGTCGCTGCAGTTTCGGGCAGTGGCTGCTCAGGGCGGCGCAGGTGGCGTCTGAGATCTTCTTGCACTGGCGCAGGTTAAGGTCCTCGATGTTCGGGCAGGACTGCGCCAGGGTGCGCATCGAGTTGTTCCCGATGCTCTGACAACCCCTGAGGGAGAGTTGCCTTAAGAATCCGCCGCATCGTCGCGAGATATTTTCTATTACCGGGCCCTACAAACAGGGAGAGGCTACAGATCCGGAGAACGAGGCGCATCGGGGAGGAGAATCCCCTGGGGATCCCCTGGGGATCCCCTGGGAACCCCCTCGGGTCATGGCCCAAGATCTGGGCTTTCAAGGACGCTTACGGGAGGGATATCCTTCATCTTTTATGCCGGGCTTCGACGTAAAAGATGAAACGGTTAGCGAGGAGTCGAAGGAACGAAACCCGATTAACTCGTGGAAATTTCGTTATCCTGGGCGAGGCACCCTCTTTTACCTTGGCAACCTTTAAGGTGATGTGAAACCCGTCGAGATAACGTCGCCAGTCAAAATAAACTCTTTTGACTGATGTACCGTCTGAAACAGCGCGCCACGTTACCGACGTTGGGGTTTATATTAAAAACTGGGTGGTACTGCACCGAGAATTGTATGGAATGGAGTGCTCTCCGTGTGTCGTTTTAGTGATATGATTTAAGAAAAGAAAAGAAAAAACAATACATCTAAGTAAAACTGAAGTAATTCTCTAGATTCAGGATTTTTGATACTGTAATCGACAGCAGGGCCATCCGTTGCATTTAGTGCCAACTAAATGTTGTCTCCGAGAGCTGGTACACTAATAGTGTTCTCTTCATCTCGACACAAAAGTTTGCAAGTAACTTTTTTGCCTTTATCTCGTTCAAATGCGCGATTCTCAATTAACAGAATGTTATTAATTGTTATGCGACAGTCGTGACATTTACGTTCCTTACATCGGAGCATTCACGGATTGTATAATGATCGAAATATGGGAGTGCGACGCCATTTTGTCTTCGATCTAGACTAAATAATAAAAAAAAAAGAACTTTGAAAAGATCTGGACATTTCTAGGTGCTTACTATGTACTGAAGTTTTAGACAATTCGATGAAATAACGTTTAAAAAGTGTCTTATTCGAGTCGACTAATTTATGGCGGGTTTCACTTCACCTTAAAGTCTCTTTAGACATATCTAAACCGTGTCCGTACACTGATGGAAATGACGTTTTAGATTTATATTGGGGATTCATATACTTCCGTACCAGTATTCATATATATATGTCTGAAAAGTCAGATAAGTTGACTCTTTCATATTACCTTAACCGCGTTATACGGTAGTCTACGTATTAGCTCTGCGTCTAACGTTACGAATTTCTCTTCAAACTTTAATTTGAAATGTTTTTTTATTTACTTATATTCTCGTTTTCTACCCAAAATATTTTTCTCTTCGTTGAAAATTGGTGCAATCGCTGCGAGTTCTTCGACTAAAACATTCATTCTCGATGTTCAGAGGCAACGACATCGAACGGAGATCATGTCAGGGTATGAATGCTCTGTACGGATGTGCATGAATGTCATAGACATATCTGAATTGATCTTAAGGGGATGTGAGAGTGGCATTTTAAGGTGAAGTGAAACCCCCTTCAAATCAGTCGATTCGAAGGCAACACTTTTTTTTTAAGGGTATTGGACCAAAATGCCCGAAACTTTGACACATGACTCGTGATCATCTAAGAATTGTCCTGACGCGTTCAAAATTTGGATTTTTGAAAAAATGTTTTAACTGAGCCCAGACCAGAACCAAAATGGCGTCGAGCTTTCATATTTCGATCAATATACAATTATCGAAGGCTCTGATATGAGAAACGAAAGGGTCAGGACAATTTTACGACAATTTACAACACTCTGGTAATCGATAAACTTGCATTTGAACGGAATAAAGACAAAAAAAGTGTTGTATGCGCTTCTATGTTAAAACAATGGGAATACGAGGTCTCGGGGTGAAAATTTAATTGACCTAGAAATCACAAATGACGCAGGGTGTCCCTCTGCAGTCAATTAGGGCCCCAGAAAGCATGAATCTAGAGGATTTCTGGAGTTTTACTTCGATTTCTTGATATTTACTGTCCGAAAACGACAGGTGGAGTATGCCATTTGGTACAATACCCAATATAATTCAACACAGCTGTCAATATAAAAACGAACGTCGGCAATGTAGGCATTTAGAAAACTCTTATTCATCGACGTCGATCAAGTTCCTCGACGTGTTTCACTTCACCTTAAGGGTCCAATCGTTCATGACACTTTTCTCCGAATTGGGTGTACCAATTTCTTTGAAATTTTACCAGACGACTAAGGAGACCCTAAGGTAGGTCCTGAAAGTCGCAAAACTTCATTTGTTATTAAAATTGTTAAAAATAGCTATAAACAAATTATCTTAAAATTGAAATATCATGGGTTTCAGGACCTTACTTTCCGTATTCCTCCGTTTCACCTCCGTATTCACATTGTCAAGTCTGAGACGATTCGGTACACCTAGTTTGGAGAAAAGTTTCATAAAACAATATCCCTTTGACGCCACTTTCACGTCACCTTAATTCCGCGTATCCATTGTTTTTACCTCGAAAACCATTAAAAGGCTCTAGGTCCAAAGGCAATTACATTTCCATTAACGCGAGAAGGTGGATGGAACGATTTCGCGAGGAAACCGCCGGACTGGCTTCCAAAATATACACTTGAAATTGCATTTGGCATGAATATTGCACCGACGAGGCAGATTCGCAGCTAGACCCTGAAGGGGAGGTATCAGGATATGGTAAGATGGTCCTTGAGGATTTTGCTGATTAGAGGGTTCGTAGATTCTGACAAGATTCGAGGGTGATCCCCGGGGGTTGTATATTGCATATTGTGTATTCCAGGTCAGGCTGAGAATGTGTCTCGAATCGGTAACACTGCGAGAACAGTTTCGCTCGAGATCTCGGGGGAGCCTTCTACCGAGATCTCGAAGAGAGGTTTCTTCCTAGATCTTGGAGTGAAGTGTCTTCCGAGATCTTGGAGGGAAGTCTTTCATCCTAGATCTTGAAGAGTTTCTTCCGAAATCTCGAAGGGAGTCTTCTTCCGAGACCTTGGAAGATTTCCACAGAGACTTTGAAGGACCTCCTACAATGTCAAAGGTCTTCAGGAGTTTCTGCCGAGGGCTTGGATCTCTTTCAAAATCTCGAAGAGAATTATCATCTGAAATCCTGATAAGAGGCATCTTCCCAGATTTTGGAATGTTTTTTTTTTTCCCCACATACTTGGAAGGCGGTTTTCATCGAGATTTTAAAGGACCTCCCTCGATGTCACAAATCTTGGAGGGTTTCTTCCGAAATCTCGAAGAGGTTTCTTCCCAGATATAGGAATTTTTCCGAAATCTTGGGAGAGAGGTTTCCAACGATCTTCTGCAGGGTTAAAGACTTTGGAACTTCTTCCGAGACCCGGGAAGATTTCTTTCAAGGTTTTACAAGATTTTGTACCAAAATTTCATAGAGTTTTCTTTAGGAGTCCTGCGGAGAACTTTCTTCCTAGAAATTTGGGAAGTTTTTTCCGAAATCTTGGAAAAATTCCATAGAGATTCTAAAGGATCTCATACAATGTGAAATATCGTGGAGAATTTCTGCCGAGACCTGAGAAGGTTTCTTCCAAGGTTTTGGCAGGTTTCTTCGGAAACCTTGAAGAATTTTCTTTCAAGGTCTTGAAAAGAAGCTCCTTTCTACGTTTTAGAAGAATTTTGTTCCGAAATCTTGGATCATTTCTACCGAGATTTTAAAGGATCTCCTACAATGTGAAAGATTATGAGTGTCTACCGAGATCTGAGAAGGTTTCTCCCAAGGCTTTGGAAGATTTCTTCCGGAACCTCGACGAAACTTCTTCTGAGGTCTTGAAAAGAAGTTCCTTTCTACGTTTTAGAAGAATTTTGTTCCGAAATCTTGGAATATTTCCACCGAGATTTTAAAGGATCTCCAATAATATGAAATATTATGAGTGTCTACCGAGATCTGAGAAGGTTTCTCCCAAGGACTTAAAAGATTTCTTCCGGAACCTCGAAGAATTTTCTTCCGATTTCTCGGAGAAAAGCTTTCTAGATTTTAGAAGAATATTTCCCGAAATCTTGGAGCATTTCCACCGAGATTTTAAATGATTTCCTACAATGTGAAAGATCATGGAGAATTTCTGCGGAAACCTGAGGTCTCTCCCAAGGTTTTGGAAAGTTTCTTCCGAAACCTCGAAGATTTTTCTTCCAAGGTCTTGAACAGAAGCTCCTTTCTACTATTTAGAAGAATTTTGTTCCGAAATCTTGGAACATTTCTACCGAGATTTTAAAGCATCTCGTACTATGTGAAAGATTGTGATGGTCTGCCGAGATCTGAGAAGGTTTCTCCCAAGGATTTGAAAGATTTCTTCCGGAACCTCGAAGAATTTTCTCCAGATGTCTCGAAGAAAAGCTTTCTAGATTGTAGAATTTTTCCCGAAATCTTGGAGCATTCCCACCGAGATTTTAAAGGATCTCTTACAATGTAAAATATCGTGGAGTATTTCTGCCGAGACCTGAGAAGGATTCTTCCAAGGACTTGAAAGGTTTCTTCCGAAACCTCGAAGAAATTTCTTCCATGGTCTTGAAGAGAAGCTCCTTTCTACATTTTAGTCGAATTTTGTTCCGAAATCTTGGAACATTTTCACCGAGATTTTAAAGGATCTCTTACAACGCCTAACATCATGGAGCGTTTCTTCCTAGTCCTGAGAAGATGTCTCCCAAAGGGTTCCCCCGCAATTTTGAAGAGTTCTCTTGCGAGATTTTAGAAGAAGTTTTACAACAATTCCACGATCATGGGGAATCATGGAAAGTGGTTACCACCGAGGAGGATGCAAGGTGTCTTACCTCGACGTCGCGCTGGAAGTCGAAGAGGTCGATTCTTTGCCAGTTTGAACCGTCGAGGGCCAGTACGTTCCATGCTTTGCTTACTTGGGCGCACCGGCATAACGAGACAACGTCCAGATAGGACATTATCCTGGAAAAGAAATTAACGTCATCAATTCTCTCCGCCATTCACGCATACTTACATACGCCCACCAATACATCGTCTTAAGATTACGCGAAACGTGCCGTTTACTGACAGCTTTATCATTCATTACTCAAGAGCATTTATACTATACCGGAAAACATTTTCTCCGAAACACCCGAAAATTGGGAAAACTCCAAAACTGGATTTAACAACCTTACACTCTCTAAAAGCCTCTAAAAAATTATTAATTTCAAAACATTTATGCATTTATACTATATCACGAAACATTTTTTCCGAAACACCCGAAAATTGGGAAAACTCCAAAACAGGATTTAACAACCTTACACCCTCTAAAAGCCTCCCAAAAATTCATAATTTCTTTAACTTTACTCCTATTCTCCGGACTACCTTGATATTAAAAGTAATTGCATTATTTCCGCACTCTGAGTTGTGTAATCATTATTGTAATGTCTTTAAACAGTCATGTTATTTGCTAAAAGAGGCTCAAAAATCCTTTTAGCGTTCAGAGATCTTATAGTTATTTAAAAAAAAAGGGACAAAACCTCTCTTGATCCTGTAATTGATTAAAGTCTTCCTCCTTTTACCTCATTTTTTTTTTTCCTCCAGGTTGATATAAAGTTCACATTACATTATTTCCACCCCCAGCGTGTTTTTATCACTCAGTGCTAAAATGTTACGTGTTAACTTATAAAATATCTTCAGATACTCCAAAATCGGAGGAGACCACGTTAAAGAATCTTTAAAAGTCCTTACATGCTTACACCTCTAATTTAGCATTAGGAGTCTTTATCTAAAAACAACGGATAAAAAGCGACTCTTAATCCTGAAAGTGAGATATGAGTATGATTTATACTTAAAATGTCTTACACGATCTCTTATAAAACAATATTTACGCGATACTCCAAAATCCAATGGCCCTTTAAAGAATAATCAAAAGAGGCCCTTGCAACTCTCCTTTAACGTTAAGAGGCGTTACTTAGTTATTTAAAGACAACAAATAAAGGCCACCTCTTAACCCTGAGATTCAAACCTAAGTGTCATTAAAAGTCTTACCCCATTAAATCCCATTTTCAGCATCTTGTTCAAAGTAATTAGATTATATCTACGTCCAGATTTGTATCACCGACTGCTAAAACGTTCTGTACTATCTCATAAGACAATATCTGGCAGATACTCCAAAATGATAAACACGGTAAAAACCTCGAAAAACTCCTTACTCTCCATGACTTAAGGTGATGTAAAAGTGGCATCGAAGAGGACTTGTTTATAAAACCTTTCTCCCAACTCGATTTACCGGATAGTTTGAAACTTTACAACGTGAATAGGAAGCCTACAAGAAAAGTCCTGAGACTCATGAAATTTCAATTCTTTTCAAATTTGATTATAGGTATTATAAAAATAGTTTATAAAAAAATGAAATTACGCGAGTTTCAGGACCTACCTTAGGGTCTCCATATTCACGTTTTAAAGTATGAAACGATTTGAGACACCCAGTTCTATGAAAAGTTTTATGAACGATTGAGCTTTCGGATGCCACTTTCACATCCCCTTAACGCTTTTCTTCTGGCTAACTTAATTTCCCCAAGTAATCCCATTATTTCCACACCCTTGCGGCAGTTCAGCCGTAATTGAGGCGCGATAATTGCGCGTAATTGACGTCGGGGGGGGGGGGGATTTGTGAGCTCACCGCGAGATATGACGCAGAGGTTGATAAGACACGATAATCTTGAATTAGGAACTTTCAACGGAATCGTCATTACCATTGATCCGAGAGGTTCGGACTAAGATCGCTTATCACCGGACCAAGAAATATTTGACACCGTGACTGACCAAGTGATAAGAGGCATTACGCCGACCGTACACAGAACGTGGTTAAGACCGTCCTCCACGATAACTCGTTATCGACAAATTGGCCGAAAACAACATTTTTCTTATTGCTCAAGTACGGTGGATATTGCAGATCGACGGCATCCCGTAAATGGCACGTTTCGAGATTGCAAAAAAAAAATTGGCAAAGTACCCTGCTCGACAAAAAATAGCAACACCTAGAAATTAAAAAAGTCGGTGGATGGCCGCCAGGCACGTTGGAAGTGAAACTTCTAACAAGGAAGGCATCCTAGGTCGATCTCTCCGATTTGATTTCTTTTATAATATGTTATAGTAGACTAAAAACTAAGCGACACGTATTTTTTTTTTATCCGCCATTAAACACTTTAAGGGGGTGAAACCACCATCCAAAGTAAGGCATGTTAAGGGACGATTTGGCAGTTTCACCCACAAGAACATATTTTTTAACCAATCCACCTGGAAAAGCTTTCTCATAACGAGAAATGGAAAATATAATTTTCTCAATGAAAAGAAAAAAAAATTAAGGGGTGAGCCACCCCTCACAGACCTTACTTTGCATGGTGGTTTTTCCCCCTTAAAGTGTTTAATGGCGGATAAAAAAAAATACGTGTCGCTTAGTCTTTAGTCTAGTATAACATATTATAAAAGAAATGAAATCGGAGGGACTCGACCTGTCAGTTAGAGAGAACTATTAGATGTTAATAATTGTTCTTAATTATTCAATCACGAAATGCGCTATGTGGTCGGTACTGGTTGTATTGGGCATCGTTGTTGTTGTTCTCTATTTGCATTATTTTTATTCCACTTTAAATATCAATGATTAACTCTGAGGACAACGCACTAACGTTAAACGTTTACGCAAATTGTCTCAATACCGCTACAGAAAGATGGATATCAACAGTACTGTATTGTCGAAATAAAATTATACGTAATTAGGGAAATACTAAAACATAAAGATGAATATGAAGAGTAATTAAATCTGAGAGGAAAAAAAAAGTTTCATTTTTCTAATCGGGCTCCTTTAATGACATGGGAATTTACATATATTACCGTGCCGTAAGAAGTTCCACTTCAAAATCGTACAAATCAGAGGCCACAACATATACGGTATAGGATACCGTAAAGAGATAGTGACTCAATTTTGGTTTAAAAACACTTGTAACTATCGAAATACGGTCGTAATCTCCTTTCTTTTTTCTAACTCATATATGGGTTCATAAAATATGCACGACTTTGATTTTTAAGTGATTTTTAGGTGTTGCAGACTTTTTGTTACGATCAGTGTAATTATCGAGTCACTTAAGAGGATATGAAAGAGTCAGCCTATATATATATCTGAGAAGTCAAATTGTTGGGGAAAGTATTCCCCGAATTGGGGGTACCGATTCGTTTCAAATTTTCCCACGGGAATACGGAGGTCCTAAAGTAAGTCCTGAAACTCATGAAATTTCATTTATCATCAAAAACTGATTTACTTATCATGGACCAGCATGGCGTGGTCCGTGCACGTTTTCGATGTTTTATCCTTCTTGGAGGCTTAGAATAGAAAATGAAGAGTTTCAGGATCTAGCTCGAACAATTTAGAATACCGTAGAATTGGAATATTACAGAGTAAGATGAGAAAATGTGGTAAATACTTTCACCAACGATTGCAAGAGAATGCTGGCTTGTCCTGCGGGTAACACGTATTTTTAGAGGAAAAAATTTAGTTGCAGCTTAACGTCACAAATGGCGACGTTGGTTCGTCAAAATATAAACAGTCATGAATTCGTGGGATTTCGACAGTTGTACATCGATCTTTTTATCATTACTTGACCGAAATGACATATGGAACCCTTCAGTACGTATAATTCTCAACGTAGACTGTACAAAATTCCAACATAAATATAAATGTCGGTAACGGGACGCGCCAGCTTATGTTACCACTTGGATATTCAAAATGACGTTACCACCAAAAAGGGTATAGATAAATGTTAATTTGTCGACGTCGATTGAATTCTTTCAACGCCTTTCATATCATCTTAAGTGATCCCGACATTATCCTAGGTGGTGAATTAATCCCTCGAGTCACTTCGTTCTTCATTTCAGTCGCAAAAGAAGACTCCTCGGATTTTAACAGGTAACCCCTCACCTGAGCAGCAGCTCCTTCGGTAGTTTCTTGTTGATTTGTGCTTCATCGTCATGAAATACCCATGTTAGCTGGAATGAGAAAAATCACGGATAAAATTAATGTTATTAGCGAAGACAATCTATACATAAACTGCTCTCCCGAAAAGTAGCAACACTCAAGAATAAAAATCGTGCAAATCAGGGACTTATATTATATATATCGCGAACAGTAAAGCAAAGACCTACCGATTCAATTTCGGTTTAAACCTTTGCACTTGAGGCCTTTTTCGCTTATTACCAACAACTCGAGATGATTTGTCTCACATAGAAAAGTGGTGACCGAAAGTCACCTCTCGAGTGCAAAGAGTTAAAAAATACTTATGAGTACTGAGATATGGTCATATTATCTACTGGCTGTCCTATGCGATGGGTATGGTTATCAGACATTCACAACATTGACTGTCTAGTATTCGGTATGGTTCATTTGGTGAGCAGTATGGTTCAATTTTAATATTTGGCCGTGTATTAACACATTCGCGACTGGCAAATTTTTTCCGTTTCAAATACTGAGTACCGGCGAAAATAATGAAGTTCTGAAACTGTTTGCCGCAAACTTGTATCGTGTATCGTCATGGACGTGATTCACGTCAGCGGCAATCAGGAATAGAATTTAAAATGACGTGAATTCACGTCAGCGGCAATCAGGAATAGAATTTAAAATGACGTGAATTCACGTCAGCGGCAATCAGGAATAGAACTTGAAAAGACGTGAATTCACGTCAGCGGTTGCGATTGTGTTTTTGGATTTTTTAAACAGATTTGTTAACTTAGTTCGGATCAACACCAAAATGGCGTCGAGCTCTCATACTTCGATCGAAATACAATTATTGAAGGCTCTAATATGAGAAACGAAAGTGTCAGGACAATTGTACGACAATTTACAACACTTCGGTAATCAAGAAACTCGCATTTTAACGGGATAAAGGCAAGAAATGTGTCTTATGCACTGCTATGATAAAACGATGGTAATACGAGGTCTCGGAGTGAAAATTTAGTTGACGCGGAAATCGCAGATGGCGCAGGGGATCCCTCTGTAGTCAATTAGGACCTCAAAAACCATAAATCCAGGAGATTTAAGGAGTTTTGCTTTCATTTCTTTATAATTATCGTACGAAAACGACAGGTGGAGTATGCCATTTAGTACAATACCCAATCTAATTCGACACAGCTGTCAATATAAAAACCAAAGTCGACAACGTTGGTATTTAGAAAAGTCATCTGTACCGACGTCTATCAAGTTCCCGATGCGTTTCACTTCAACTTAACGATTACAAACAACAAAAAATAAGAAAAAAAAAAAAACACCAATAATTCACGGTTTTTAAGAATTGCATTGTACTGCATGGCTAACGATTCCCATGCGGTATTGAAGTAATCGGGAAAGAATGCTCGATCGCGCCTTTTCTCTGGACAAACACCTCAAGATGCTATTAATTCTAACGTGTTTATGCGCTCCTTTGTTTCGCTGGCAAAGTCCTCATGAACGGCGACAAAGAGCCGCGGTGACGCATCGAGACCGGACGCGAGGAAGAAGTAAAAAGGAGAAAAAGAAGAAAAATGACCACGTGGTGCTTTGACACATGTCGCGGCCAGAAAAAAGAATGGTTAACGATCCTCGAGATAGAGGAATGTAGAAGGCATTTTGTTGGAATCGATGCTCCCGGCGAGAAGAGAAAAGGAGGATTCTTTTATTTTTCCCACGCTCCTCGCCCTTTGTTTTCACCCTTCGTCCTAGCTAAGGCGATAGCAAGTAATGTAAGGGGTTATAGAGGAGTAACAGAGGAATGTAGAAGGCATTTTGTTGGAATCGATGCTCCCGGTGAGAAGCGAAAAAGAGGATTCTCTTATTTTTCCCACCCTTCTCGCTATTTTTTTTCACCCTTCGTCCAAGCAGAGGCGATAACAAGTAATGTAAGGACTCTAGTAGCACAAAATGTGTCCTATAATTTCTATATGTTTAGCGAATATCCTACATTTTGTAAATATTTAGCAGACATTTGAAATATTTGCAAAACGTTTACTTTACGATATTATCCCCATAATATTTATATAATATTGGCTCCACGTGTTTTCATAATATTTTTCTACCAGGTATACAAAATATTTCCTTTCATTTTAAATCAAGTATTTTTTAAATATTATCTGCCGAGTACATTGTAAACGTTTTAAAAATATTAAAAATCAAAATCACACGTTTTGCTCCCATAATGAAATAGCGGAACGAAAATATTAGAAAAATTTCTCGGGTTTTTTGATACCAAATGAAGTGTCCGATAATAGTCGTGAAGTAAAAACGTGTATTTTTATTATGTTAATAAGTTAAAAAATATAATTTCTCTATGTTTATAAATTATTGAAACTAAATATGTCATTGAGATTTTCAACAAATATTTCAAATATCTTCGAATGAAATCTACAAGAAATCTTAAAAAATCTGTCGCTTGAAATATTTAGCAAAGATTACAAAGAAATATTTAGAAATTATTTTATGCTACTAGGGGGGTTATAGAGGAGTAATAGAGGAATGTAGAAGGCATTTTGTAAGAATCGATGCTCCCGGTGAGAAGAGAAAAGGAGGATTCTCTTATTTTTCCCACCATTCTCGCTTTTTGTTTTCACCCTTCATCCTAGCAGAGGCGATAACAACTAATGTAAGGAATTATAGAGGAGTAATAGAGGAATGTAGAAGGCATTTTGTAAGAATCGATGCTCCCGGTGAGAACAGAAAAGGAGGATTCCCTTATTTTTCCCACCCTTCTTGCCCTTTGTTTTCACCCTTCGTCCTAGCAGAGGCGATAGTAAGTAATGTAAGGAGTTACGGTCGCGGTTCCCACGGTCTTATCATCCACTTCTATCACTATTCAGGTCTTTAAAATATATTTACAATTCAATAGGAAATTTCGGAATTGCCTCATGATTTTTTCTGATGCATTTGATAAACGCGTATTTGCACTTCTTCGTTAACTCATAAAATGAGAGGAAAATAATTTGGAGCACTGGACGAATTAGTCATCTCCACGGAGTAACGATGTTGTCGCTTACACTCTTATCATATCTAAAGTTTCCTAAATATATTTACAATCCAATAGAGAAATCTCTCTATCTCTTCCTTCGAAGAACGTTCAACACAATCGATAAACGCGTGTTTACGATCCTCTATTACACTTTTAGACGAAAGTAGAAATAAACAGGAACGCAATAACTTGAAAATATAACTACATCCCACATAAACCTTTGATCTTTCCTCCCTAAAGACTTTTGATGCGATTGATACGCACCTGTCTATACACCTGTATAAATTCAATACAATGAAGGTAAGAAATAAAAGATAATCATCTCGGAGTAATGGACAGATTTGTCGTTCCCATGAAATGACAACACTATCATGTACTCCTACAATCTCTGTTTTGAAAATATCTTAACAATCCAGCAGAAATCTCTCGTCTTTCTGCGGATGGCCTTCCCACGCAATCGATAAACGTGTGTTTACGATTCTACATTATTACTTTCAAGTGAATGAAAATGAAATGACTCGCGAAACATGGAAGAACTGATAAGCACATATTTGCATGTCATTGTTAATTTATAAAATGAGACACGATTACAGGAAAATAAACTCGGAGTGGTGAACATCACCCCTTTGAAATGTCATTATCCATTTCTAAAAGTTCTAGTCTTCAAATTATATTTAAAATTCAGCATAAACCTCTCATCTCTATTCTCGGAGACTTTCAACGGCATTGATAAGCGCATGTTTGGCTTCTATATTATTTCTTTAAGTGAAAATTAAAATATATGAAGAAGAAATGACTCGGAATAATGATCAACTCTCTCATCTCTGTGAAAGGACTCTACTATTATCTACTTATAGCACCTCTAAATACATTTATGACCCAACAAAAATCTCTCTGCTTTCCTCCGGAAGACTTTCAACGCAATTAATACGCGTTTCTACGTATCTATTACGTCATAAAATGAAAGTAAAATAATATAAGGAAAATATATAATCTTGGAGTTATATATAAATTTGTCGCTTCCGTGAAGTTACAGCTCTGACATACAACTTCTATCGTCTCTAAGGTATCCAAAATATTTTTACAATCCAACAGTGACATTTATCATCCCTATGAAGCGATCACACTACTTGTATCACCTCTAAAACTTCCGAAGTATATTTTCAGCTCGACTGAAATTTCTCGTTTTTCCTCTAAAGGACTTACAACGCAATAGATATGCGCATGATTACACTTTACATTATCTCTCCAAGGACAAAATATGTAGTAAATAGAATGAAAACAATTCGGAGTAGTTTTGACAATTGTTATCTCTAAGAAATGACAACTCTCACATCTACTTGTATCACCTTTAAAGCCTCCTAAATGCATAACCCAAGAAAAATCTCTTGGCTTTCTTCCGGGAGACTTTCGACACAATTTACTTGCATGTTTATACTTCCTTGTTATGTCATAAGGTGAAAGTAAAGAAATAAAAGAAAAAAATATAACTTTGGAGTCATGTATAAATTAGTCGGCCCCATGAAGTGACGAGTACATCGTGCACTTCTATCATTTCTAAGATTTCTAACATATTTTAACACTCCAGCAAGGACATTTGTCACCCGTAAGAAATGACAATTTTATCATTAACTTGTATCAACTCTGAAGCCTCTAAAATACATTTACAACCTCGCAAAAACGCCTCGATTTTCCTCCGGAAGACTTTCGACTCAATTCATACGCATGTTTACGCTTGTTACGTCGTAAAGAGAAAGTAAAAGAAAAGAAAAAAATATATATATCTGGAGTTATACATAAATCTGTCATACTCATGACGTGACAACTGTATCACGGCTTGATATCATCTCTAAACTTTCCAAAACATTTATACAATTTAACCGTGGCACTCGTCATTTCTATAAAATGACAACTCTGACATCTACTTGTATCACCTCTACAACTTCCAGAATATATTTCCAACCGACCAGAAATCTCTCGATTTCCCTCTAAAGGACATTCAATGTAAAGTATAAGCATACATGTGCATTTCTACATCGTCTCTTCGCGTCAAAATAAAAATAAACAGAAAGGTAAAAATTCGGAGTAACAATAGCAATCATCATCCCTATAAAATTGGCAACTTTGTCGTCGATTAGTCCCACCTCTAAAGCCTTCCAGAAGACACAGTCCACCAGAAATCTCTCGACATTTCTCTGGAAGACGTTCGACGCAATTCATTCACGCGTGTTTACGCTCCTTTGTTATGTCACAAAGTGAAAGTAAAAAATATGCAAAAAAAAAGAACTATAATCTCGAAGCAATGTATAAAGTAGTCACATCATGACAACCCTCTCGTCTATTGCTATCGCCTCTAAAGTCTCCAAGCAACTCCAATCCAACAAAACCTCTCGGCCTCCCCCCCTCGTAGGAGCCTCCGACGCAATTGATCCGCGCGTGTTTACACTTCTTTGTTGTCCCCGCATTTTTCCAAATGGCGACACGAGACCATCGCCTGCATCCTGGTAACGAATGTCGAATAACCGGCCCTGAATGGTGAGAAATTTCAAAGGGTGAAATTCTCCCAGAAGGGTGTAAATTCAAAAAACAAGAGCTAAGGAAGAAAACGACCGAACTTCAAGTACAAGGGTTTCCAGGATCGCAACGTCTCGCCTGGAGTACGTGACAGTCCTTGGGTCCTTCGGGCCCGTTACCCTGGTGCATTTCCCGAAAAACCCGGAAAGGATCCGCCGCAGGACAAGGAGGGTACGGGGGTTCTCCGAAGGACCTCCGACGCAATAGACGGGCCCGGGAGAACAAAGGCAAGGTCGTTGGAGCGGAGGGTGTCCGGGTCGAGCCAGGGGTCGGCGACGGCGGGCGCAGGTGCGGGCCAACCTGGAAGTGGAATTAATGGTTGTCAGCTCGCCCGGAGGTCGGGATCGCGTAGGAACAAAGGATGGACTCGACTGACCACGGTTCCTCGGGGCAGAAATGGAGGCGACGCTCGGTGTCGAGGAAGCCCGGGGACGGCAGAGGCCCCGAGGAGGTCGGCCCGGGCCTCCGAGGACGGCCCTGGGCCCAGGGACGTCGCAGGGCCCGCCGGCCACGGGGCCGAGGGATCAGCTGTTCGGCTCCGAGTGACAACACGCCGCGGGTCCGCGCGCGGCTCTCGCGGCCTAACGCGCGCTTCGTCCCTTGCCGCGGCTCGATCTCGCCTCCGGACGAGAGTTCCTCGGTGTCCGACTTACCTCGAGCCTGGTGCGCCCGGAGTGTATCATCCTTTTCCGTCGCGTTATTTTGTCAATCTTCCGGGAGGACCCGCACGCCAGGTGGAAAAAACTCGCCGAGCGAACGAGACGCTAGACCGCGGGAGAGAAATGGCCGAGTCTACTGGACGTCGGCGGGGTCGAGAGAGCGTCGTTGGTTGGCCGCGAGCCTCGGCGCCAGGGGAAAGTATGGAAAGATGGAGAGAGGCAGAAGTAGGCGGGTACTCGAGCGGGGGGTGCAGGGGGGGTGGGGAGGGAAACCCGCATGGGATTCCGTATAAGTGCGTCTCGCTTGCACTCGCGGGAGAGGGATACTCCGGGTCTCTTGGAGGGTAGAGTGGGGGAAATGATTCAGGTGGTGGCAACGAAATCGACCTTGACGAGGTGATCGTGATTCCCTTGGTGCCGGGAGAGGGACGCGCCATTGGCCGAGACGGCCGACCCGACGACAGCGGACCGAACTGAGGCGCCGGTGGCGACCCCCTTTGATCCGGCGGCAACCACCCGAAGCTCCGGTAGCGCTCAACAGGGCATCTTATTGTTTATCGGAATAGAACCGTGTGCCCCGAATGGATGTGTGGGTGATTTAGGTTATGTGTTAGTGCCTCGGGTATGTTTACGATTTTCTTCACGTGCGCTTGTGGTTTTGTTGCCATGTGCGAATTTAGGATGCGATTAAATGGAGTGATGCGGTTTACCGTGACTGCCGGATCAATGGGTTTGATGCGTTAAGGAATTACTAGTCTATTAGGTTATGTAGCTGCACTGAATGCCTCTCTTTTTTATGCTAGCTGCTCCTGCGATTTGACAGCGGAATCTCGACGTGCACTGACGAAACGGCGGATGCAACGAGGCATTTAATTCCGTCTTCAATTAGCATGCAACCGTGTGTCGTTTACTCTGCTGCGCAGTGATGCAATAATTTAATGTAGAACGGCGAAAAGTGGTGTATATGTTGAGGTATATTTTTAACACGTTTTTAGATGATTGTATATATATGATTAAATGTACCGTATAGCTATGCATCGAGATAAAAGTATATATAAATTTCGTAACAAAGGATAGATATTTAATAGACATAAAATCATTTCAAATTAATGAAATATATTTTTTTTTCCACCTTTTTTGATACTTACCGTCTAGGTAGCTGATGTTTAATTACATAAACTGTCGTCTGGATTAGATATTTTATTTAACAAAAGACAGATACCGAATCATTTGTTTAAATCTTCTAGTTTGTAATTGATATCAGTTGATTACATTAGCAATCAGGGTTTTGCTAAAAAAAGGTGTGACACGTGAAAAGTAATTTAACATTGCTATCAAGTCTTTCCTTCGAAGCAAAGTATTCCTCCCGGATAATTGTTTTTTTGACGCGCAGAGACAAAGCGTAGGATGTGCTCGTGATCCATTAGCCAGAATAAATACCAGAATTAAAGCATGATAACTGTGAACCAATGAACGATCGGACAGCCACTGTTATCAGTCAATCATCGAATTAATGGTTAAGCATAGGAATGATAAGTGACGAAAATATGCTCTTTGATATTTTTTCTATTTATCGTTAATACCTACAATTGTATTTTAGTGTCCTTTAAAAAAAACTGAGTTTACGCCTTCGATATGATAGTATATAATAAACTGCGGTATCGCTCGTTGAATATTTTTCTATGGAACCAAATGCTCTTGCATTTGTTGATCAAGTAATTGTGGAGTAATCCTTGAATCTTATTAATCATCGTACTTTTTTCATTGTCAATGTTAAACTGCAGATACGTTATCTGCCAGATACAATATTAGTTTCTTGCGTTTGTGAAACTACTTCCTGTAAAAGAATTCACAGTTGCATCTAACACCGTTCTGCAACCAATGTATTGAAGAACACCGTTGTAACTAGAGGCATAAATTGTGCAAACATTGTGAGCGCATCGTATTAATGGCTTCAAATCCTTCATTGCCAGCGCAATGATATAAGATAAGAGACACTTTCTCGAAGGACGTGGAGGATTTAACTGCGCCCTTTTTTCCATTCAATTATGTCAGCAAATAATTTCTTTTATCTCACCCACGAAAGTTTTAATCAATTTCAAGCGTGTTAATGGCTCCAGGTTCTTCATTAACAACGCAATAATATAAGATAAGTGTTTCTCATTTTCCCAAATGACGGGAAAAATTTAACTGCGCCCTTTTTCTTTTAATTATGTCAACAAATGATTTTTTTATTACACCCACTCATCTGCGAAAGTTTCAAAAAGTTCTGAGCACTATGCGCAGTAAGAATCTTGAGAAACAACATTGTAGATAAATCCGCTTATTAATAGTACACGTCCTTTTCTCTACCATCTTTAAAAGGAAGTCATGAGCTTTAAAAATCGGCCCGATGATATCTTAAATAATAAATTTGAGGCAATCCTGATAATCCTGGGGAAAAAGTAGAGAATGAAATCACGAATATTATCGCTAGATATGCAAATGATTTTTTTTCTCACCCACTCACGTGCGAAAATTTTAGACAATTCTGTGCACTATTCATAATAAGAATCTTGAAAGACAATGTAGATAGACGCGCTTATTAATAGTATACTCCCTCTTCTCTACAATCGTACCAAAGTCATCAGCTATAAAAATCGGTCGGATGATATCCTAAATAAAAAAAAGGATCAAGGCAATTCAGAAAACCCCCGAAAGAAGAGTAAAAAGAGATTAAAAACGGCGGATGTTTCCGCTACGTCTTGAGATACAGGTGTCCATTACGTTCCTCGGCTGATTATTTATTTTATTTTTTATAGATATACTTATTTTGACCAGTGACATGAAACTTGGTATCAGACCTCAGTGAATGATAGTCTGATTAAAAAAGAAAAAGAATCAAGGCAATTTAGAAAACCCCCGAAAAAAAAGTAAAAAGAGATTAAAAACGGCGGATGTTTTCGCTACGTCTTGAGATGCAGGTATCCATTACGTTCCTCGGCTGATTATTTATTTTGACCAGTGACATGAAACTTGGTATCAGACCTTAGTGAATGATAGTCTGAATTAAAAAAAAATCAAGGCAATTTAGAAAACCCCCGAAAAAAAAGTAAAAAGAGATTAAAAACGGCGAATATTTCCGCTACGTCTTGAGATACAGGTATCCATTACGTTCCTCGGCTGATTATTTATTTTGACCAGTGACATGAAACTTGGTATCAGACCTTAGTGAAAAAAAAAAATCAAGGCAATTTAGAAAACCCCCGAAAAAAAAGTAAAAAGAGATTAAAAACGGCGAATATTTCCGCTACGTCTTGAGATACAGGTATCCATTACGTTTCTCGGCTGATTATTCATTTTGATCAGTGATATGCACCTTGGTATCAGACCTCAGCGAATGTGATTCGGCTCGTCTAGTGATACGTCATTTATCGAAGAAGAGATAACAGGGAGATTTCCCTCTACCAGGAAACGGCCTCGGGTAGGAGCTCGGGATCCTTGAAAGGAAATAAAAGAAATGAAAAAAAAAGATAAAAATGTCCGCGATTTCTTCGACCTCGCGAGCCGTTTAATCCGCCCCTGTTGCTCCTTCTGGGAATCTAAGGAGGGCTTTTCTTCTCCTCTCGGGGTGGCCCCTTCGCTTTTCTACGCCTCGAATGTCACGTTGATCCGCGAGATATGATAATGGCCGAGGAATTCAGGTGATAACGGCTGCGATCTTTATAAATCGAGGTACCGAGCCCGGGCGATCGATCAGTTCTTCGTCCGCCCGGTATCTGAATTTGGCGCCGGGATAATATTCGTTTCCTTATTGTACCGGTGTCGCTTTAATTAGCGGTCTGGGAGGCAGGGATTATGGGAGGCAAGTATCTATAAGCATTTCAAGTTCTTTAGAGAGGCCCCGTTTACGATGTCGCCATTTTAAAGCGGACCGGAAAGCAAATTTTAGGCGCGCGAGGCGCCGCCATTTTATTTTTGCAGTCGCACGCGTGGCACTCCGGAAACGATTTCCATCGAAATTTCACACCGTTTTGTGCATTATAATGAAAAATAGTGATGGAATTTTGAGTAATTGGTAAACCGTGATTAACTCACCTGGGGAGAAGTTAGTTTTTTAATTCCAGTAGCGTCAATTAGTGTATTAGTCTGTGCTCGCCTCGTGGGCTCTTCTATTATATTTCATATTAACTCCTACTTATTATAATTACGCGAATTGTTTGCGAGGTCGTTGATCATTTGTGAGTACTGGAAATCTTTGCGGCTTAATTTCCAAAGAAAATAATCGCGCGTTTTGTCTTTCAAGACTTTCGCCAACTCGCAAATATTATTCGAGGATGCAGTGAGTTCAAGTATACCTTTTTTGTTTTCGTTTTCCCACTCCGTCCCGGCTATCTAAATTCGAGGAATTATTTTCAAAATCGATCCGCAGAGATGTTTGCGAAGTTTAAATAAGGACGCGAGTATCTGTCGGGTAGATCGAGACAAGGATAAGAAGATAAATCTGCATTTGAGTCTCGTTGACGGCGTCGAATTGCGCAGGTGGAATTAATCTCGATATTCAAAGACAGGCATCGTGCACTTAGAGCAATTAATCATTTCTGAGCTGCCGTAGTCTGCGGGGGTAATCAAAAGAATTATTTATCGCTGTTGTGTTTATGAAATTGTAAGAAATGTGAAAATTATTTATTGCAGAGAGTCACTTGGTGACAACCGTATTGGCAGTGATCGCTGTCATCGGTGCAATTAGTGTTTCTGGACGCGAAGAGGATGTCGTTATAAGAAGGGAATGCCCCAAAGTGGATCCAGTGAACGCCACTCACATACCGCACGAATATGATTGCACGAAATTTTATACGTGCTTCCTGGGGAAGAAATTCCTATCGGACTGTCCGTTAATGAATAAGAAAGGGAACAGATTGCACTTCAATCCAATATTGGAAGTGTGCGACTGGCCCTGGAGAGCTGGCTGCGAAGGTGGAAGTCCTCCGGGAACTACAGAACTTCCGCAGATACCGACTGACGGTTCTACGACTGGATTTACGGAGGAACCAAACAGCGAAACTCCACAAGAACCTTCGACGGCAGAACCTAGCACTAAACCAAGTACTGAGGCACCACAAGAGCCTTCGACAGCAGAACCCAGTACTAAGCCTAGCACCGAAGCACCACAAGAGCCTTCAACGGCAGAACCTAGCACTAAACCTAGCACCGAAACACCACAAGAGCCTTCAACGGCAGAACCTAGCACTAAACCTAGCACCGAAACACCACAAGAGCCTTCAACGGCAGAACCTAGCACTAAACCTAGCACAGAAACACCACAAGAGCCTCCGACGGCAGAACCTAGCACTAAACCTAGCACAGAAGCACCACAAGAGCCTTCAACGGCAGAACCTAGCACTAAACCTAGCACCGAGGCACCACAAGAGCCTTCAACGGCAGAACCTAGCACTAAACCTAGCACCGAGGCACCACAAGAGCCTTCAACGGCAGAACCTAGCACTAAACCTAGTACAGAAGCACCTCAAGAGCCTTCGACAGCAAAACCCAGCACTAAACCTAGCACCGAGGCACCACAAGAGCCTTCAACGGCAGAACCTAGCACTAAACCTAGCACAGAAGCACCACAAGAGCCTTCAACGGCAGAACCTAGCACTAAACCAAGTACTGAAGCACCACAAGAGCCTTCAACGGCGGAACCCAGCACTAAACCTAGCAAACCAAGTACTGAAGCACCACAAGAGCCTTCAACGGCGGAACCCAGCACTAAACCTAGCACCAAAGCACCACAAGAGCCTTCAACGGCAGAACCCAGCACTAAACCTAGCACCGAAGCACCACAAGAGCCTTCAACGGCAGAACCCAGCACTAAACCAAGCACCGAAGCACCACGAGAGACCACAACTATTGGAGGCTCATCCGAATCGTCCTCGTCTTCGTCTTCGGAATCATCCACCGAGGAGGCCAGCAGCGAGTCGACCGAGGACTCGATATCATCCGAAAACGGCGAAAGGACCACCGAAAGTGACCAGGTCGACGGTTCGGTCACCACTCCGATTCCGGACGTGGATTTCGACGTTTCCTGCGGAAACGGCGACTCCTCAAAGACCGTCCTCCTGCCTCACGAGAGCGACTGCCGCTTATTCTACATTTGCTCCAACGGCAGCAAGATTCTCCAGGTCTGCCCGAGTGGTCTCCACTTCAACGAGGCGGCCCAGGGCTGCGACCTCCCAGAAAACGCAGGGTGCGATGTCGTCGTCACCGTTCAACCTACTCCTGACCCAGCCCCAGGTTGGGTCGATCTTCCGGCCACCTGCGTGACGACGGGACCCCAGGCTCGCGTCCGCATCCCTCACGAGTGTTCCTGCGACAAGTACTACCTCTGCATAAATGGAAGCCTGGTTCTCCACACGTGTCCCTCGGGAAAGCACTTCAGTCCCAAGTTGCCCGTCTGCGATTGGCCCGAAAACGTTGCATGTGGCTCCAACCCTTCCGATGGCCCCCCCGGGTCCAGCACCGCAGCTCCCGGAGGGGATGGAAACGGCTCGGGCGAGAGAACTACCGAGTCCGATGATCCCGAGGGAACTACCGAACCGGCGAGTGGAAACGAGACCGACGCTGGCGAAACTCCTGCTGGAGGGTCTACGGAAGGAACTACCGATGGGGGTTCGAACGGGTCAGGCGAAACTATCGTCGATCAGACCACGCAGGGAACTACCGAGAGCGACAAAGACGAGCCGGACGGCCCAGCTACTGTGAGCACCACGACGACGGCGTCTTCTCCCCAGGAGTGCCCGCAGGGCCAGGCCGGAGTCGGTCTCCAACTACCGCACGAGACCAACTGCAGACTCTTCTACAAATGCATCAAGGGCAGGAAGATCTTGCAGAAGTGCCCGCACGACTGGCACTTTAATCCTAGGACCAGGAAGTGCGACACGCAGGAAAATGCGCAGTGCTCCAAGGGCTCGGGATCCGAAACTACTGCCGTGACTGCTGCTGGAACTGATCCGAAACCTACCCCGAAGCCTACCCTGAAGCCTACCCCGAAGCCTACCCCGAAGCCTACCACAAAACCAACTCCTACCCTCACCACAACCACAACCACGCAGCCTACCACAAAACCAACTCCCACCCTCACCACAACCACAACCACGCAACCTACCACAAAATCAACTCCCACCCTCACCACAACCACAACCAAGCAGCCTACCACAAAACCAACTCCCATCCTCACCACAACCACAACCAAGCAGCCGACCACCACGAAACTACCCGTTAATACCGACGACTTCGACAACGACAGTGACGAGGATAAGGACAACAGTGATGGTCCTGGAGACGGCACTTCCGCCCCTGTGACCGATGATTCGGGCTCCAATACCGATTCACCTGTCACGGAACAGGCAACACCAGGCAATCCTGGTCCTCTCGGCTGCGTGGGAACCTGTCCTCTCCGCGACCCCGAAGATTACACCGTTCTCCTCCCCAACACCGACTGCACGAAATTCTGTAAATGCAGCAACGGAGTACCCTACGTCTACGTCTGTCCCGCTGATCTGCACTTCAGCAGGAAGTTGAAGGTCTGCACGTTCCCACAAACCGCCCAGTGCATTCCGGGGAACACGGAACCCCCTGAAGACGAGCCGCGCAACGCCTATTCCGGGTTCCTCAAGATGTTCGGCCTGTAAACGGGACGGGAGATGACGGAAAAGGACACTAACTATTGGGGTGGCAACTAAATGATTGCGGATCTTGTCGATAGATGGTATTAAAAATCACTTAGTTGACGACCCAATACTTTCCGCATCGCGGATTTTACCCGGTTTGTTGTCGGAGACCGCTGTGTGTTGTTCCTCTTCGGGGTGCGCGGCTTTGCGCGTGCGCACGCCAGTTGTCATTAGCACACGTGATACATGCTCACGCTCGTAGCTCTGATAGTTGTCGCCTATTAAAGTCCATACTTTAGACACAACTTACATCCACATTAATCAGGAAACTCGGTAGAGTTTCGCGACAAATATACACGTACATACGTTGTATACATCGTATTTATGAACAGATAAGGGGGGTAATAGATTGTGAGATACGTTTTAATCAAAGTAAGTTTAAATGGGAATGAAGAGGTAGTCGAGGCATTTATTTACGGCCCTGTTCTAGTCGTTGTTTTGCGGAAAATTTTAAATAATAGTGCTTAATGTTTTAAAATGGCGGACTTGGGATGGCTGGAAATGTCTGACTCTTTTTCTTTTTCTTGACGGGGTGCATGATTCCAGGAGAACAGTAAGACTGAAACAATAAACTGAGGTGGTTTTGGAAACTTGAGAAAATGATTCAAGAACCGACGATACGAGCTTTCGCCGAAAATTTTCGGTCAAAAGGACACGAAAGTGAAATAATATTCTCAAGTTTGGAAAATCAGCTGATCTCGTTTTTATTTCAGACTTGCCGTTCCCCTGATATCACGTACACCGTGAGAAAAAAAAGACGGTATTTTCCAACCTTTACATGGCTGCTACTTTGAAACATTCACAAATTTTCTTTTACCTTAAATTCTTCTTAAAACATAAAATAAAACAGCATAAATAAACTTTACCTCTTCGTTTCCCTTTAAACTCAGTTTAATTAAAATGCATTTCCCAAACGACTAATCCCCTTAAGGTGACATAAAAGTGGCGTCTAAGAGACCAATTGTTTATAAAATATGTCTTTAAATTAGAGGTACCGAAGCGTTTGAAATTTTACCACGTGAATATAGAAGCCCTCAAGAAGGTCCTGGTACCCATGGAATTTCCTTCTTTTTAATTTCTTTATAAAGTTTTTTAACATTGTATTCAATAATTAAATTTTAAGAGGGTTAGTACTTTCCGCAGGACCTTCATATATATGTTATGAAATTTTAAACGATTCGGTACAACTAGTATATAGAAAGGCTCCATAAACGATCGACCCCCTAAAGTGCTACTTTCATATCGCCTTAAGAAGATATGAAAGTTTCATCACAGAGTTATGGTTTATGAAACTTTTATCCGAACTGGGTTTGATGTATACCTTTTTAATATATATATAATAACCCTTTCACATCTCCTTAAAGCGATATGAAAGGGTCATTCTATATATATTAGGTGTACCCATAAGTAATTGCTTATGAGTACTCTTAATATATGAAACGTCAAAATATTTATGAAACTTTTCTCCAAAGTGGGTGCATCGAATTATCTAAAACTTTAACACGTGATTGTGGAGGCCCTAAGGAAGGACGCGATGCTCGTGAAATTTCATTTTTCGAACACAAAATGTCTTTCTTTGGTTCTTGTCCAAAATACAATTTTTTAATTTTTTTTTTTAGAAAAATGAAATTTCGCGAGCGTCGCGTTCTTCGTTAGGGCCTCCATGATCTCGTGATGAAGTTTCAAATGATTCAATCCAATTTGGAGAAAAGTTTAGTAAATATTTTGACTTTTTCGTATGTATATATGATACTTTCATATCACCTTAAGGTGATGTAAAAGTGGCATCGAAGAGGTTTTGTTTATAAAACTTTTCTCCCACCTCGACTTACCGAATAGTTTGAAACTTTACAACGTGAATGGGGAGACTATAAGGAAGGTTCTGAAACTCATGAAATTTCAAATCTTTTCAAATTTGTTTATAGGTATTTTAAAAATAGTTTATAAAAAATGTAATTTCGCGAGTTTCTGGACCTACCTTAGGGTCTCCATATTCACGTTTTAAAGTATGAAACGATTTGAGATACTCAGTTCGTATAAATGTTTTATGAACGATTGAGCTTTCGGATGCCACTTTCACATCCCCTTAATAAGAATATAAAGGCGGGGGAGGGACTCGACGAGGATTGAAACTCGCAAGCAGGCATGGTGGTATATTAAAGTCGGTGCTTTAAGTACAAGTAAGACCGGAGTGGCGCATAGGAGGGGTGCTAAATATCGTCAGGGCGATCCTGAATAGCTACTGTCAACGCCGGTAATTAGCAATCCGCGATTGTACGTCCGCAAAATAAAGAAGGAGAAAAACGAAAAAAGGACGAGCCGAGTCTCTGGCGCCGGTCGCGAAGTCGCAGTTCTTCGCTCGAGGATCCTCCGGGATGGCCTAGGACCTTCACGGCGATGATGAAGAGGTCGTCTCGGGATATATTCGGGATCGGGAGCCGAGGGAAGGCCAGTGGCGGCCTTTATTGCGCCTCGTCGTAAAACTTATCCATCTCCTCGTAAAGGAGATTCGAGGACCGGGAAGGGCCTCGAGGTTCCTGTCGGAACTGCTTTGGAGGATCTTCCTCCTGGCTGAGGTCTCCCCGAAGACGCTGCCCTTCGGGACAGCCCTCTACTCGCCTCAAGGCGCCCAGGAACCCCCGGATCTTCTCCCCGGGGAAGTCCGACCCTGAAGACGGGGCAGACGTCGGCGGTGCCCTCTTCCCGTACCTGAAGAAACAGTCGGATTAAATTTATACCGCTTATTAGCGAGCTTGGTTTTTCTTTTCTTTTGTTCTCTTCCCCTTTTTATTGTTACCGAGATATGACGTTATGCACGCGGCATCCTGGGGATCGATATGATGAATGACGCTGCCATTGCTATCTTAGGAAGCGATAATCCTAATTTGTCATCAATTCCTTTCTTTGTTTACTAGATTTTCTAGATTAGTGCCGTAAAGACAAAGGTGAGGCACTCTAGCCCTTTGGGCGCTAAGTACTTTCGGCGTATGGGCGAATTTCGTCAGGGCGTGCTAGCGATATTCGACCAAACGTCGGACGCACATATGCGTCGACAGCGCTCAAAGGGNATGTTAATAAGTTAAAAAATATAATTTCTCTATACGCGTATAAATTATTGAAACTAAATATGTCATTGAGATTTTCAAGAAATAGTTTCAAATATTTTCGAAAGAAATCTGCAAGACACCGTAAAAAATCTGTCGCTTGAGATATTCAGCAAAGATTACAAAGAAATATTTAGAAATTATTCTATGCTACTAGGGCACTTTCATATCACCTTAAGAGAGAGATGAACAAATATGAGATTATTAACCGTACTTGGATGTTGCATCGAGATTTTACGGAAGTACCAAGCACTCATGTTGCATTGTATTTCCTGTGTAAATATTCCCAAATTTACGTTAACGAAACGTATCCCCACGGATGTGTAGAAAATCCCAGCTTTACGATAACGCAAGGGTTAAAATCGATTGTATGGATAACGTTAACAAAAGGGTTCTACAATTAAATTCCAGCCGTCTTGTTATCATATGCCAAGCAAAAATCGAGGGTATAGAAATTCTTACGAATTTGCGTTAACGAAACGTATCCCCACGGATAACGTAAGGGTTAAAATTCCCTGTATGGATGAACGTTAACAAAAGGGTAAAACAATTAAATTGCAGCTATTGTTATCATACGCCGAATTTATAGTTAATCGGTTTCTTTTCTTTCTCCATTCTCGGTTGATCGACACAGTTTACTTGTAGAAATCACTTCTTTCTATAAAAGCTAAATGAAAAGAAGCGATGAAAATATTAACTGTGTTTATAAATTCTTAGAAATTTAAAGCTCCAAATGTCAGGGTGACATTTCCGATATGGAAGTACGTTACGTTATGTTGACAGAAGGCAACGCAGTTAAGATCGTCTCGATTCCAAGATTAAGTGCAATCGTCGCGTCACGATTGCAGCGTTAATCGGTATTAGTACTTTGACGTCGACCTCGGTCGGAATCGCAAAGTCGCCGGAGTTCGACTTTGATCAGGAAGTTCCGAAGATAACGTCGAACCTGGCCTTCCCGTTCAGGGAATAGTAATCTCTGACGAGGTCGAGATATCTCCTGAGTTCCTCGGCGTTGGTGAAGACCTTCGGCCTGGTCGGCCTCGCCATTGGCTCCGGATCGGCGTACGTCAGGATCGGGACTATCGACATCGAGACCAAGAAGAACCACGCCAGGGGACAGGAAAAGCTCTTTGCATACATCCTTGGACCCTGAAAAGACAAATCTTGAATTTTTCTCTTGAACAAGGAAACTCTGATGCCGTTTCCACCCGACCGACAAAACCAGTGCCGGTTTTTTTCGATGGTAATAATGTAAATAAATGAAAGTTACATTGTTCTTGGCAGAAAAGTCGGTGTCGGTTTCTTTCGGTGGTAATCATGTAAATGAATGAAAGTTACGTTGTTCTTGGCAGAAAAGTCGGTGTCCGTTCCTTTCGGTGGTAAGAATGTAAATGAATTAAAGTTACATTGTTTTTGGCAAAGAAGTCGGTGTCGGCACCGGTTTTTTCGATGGTAATAATGTAAATAAATGAAAGTTACATTGTTCTTGGCAGAAAACTCGATGTCGGTTTCTTTCGGTGGTAATAATGTAAATAATTGAAAGTTACATTGTTCTTGGCAGAAAAGTCGGTGTCGGTTTCTTTCGGTGGTAATCATGTAAATGAATGAAAGTTACATTGTTTTTGGCAAAGAAGTCGGTGTCGGCACTGGTTTTTTCGATTGTAATAATGTAAATAAATGAAATTTATATTGTTTTTGGCAGAAAAGTCGGCGCCAGCACCGGTTTTTCTTACTGGTAGACCCTTCCCGACGATTTACCCTACCGCGGAAAGAAAACGAAAAAACGGATTGAGAAAGGGTATCGTTTGTATTAAAAATGGGGTGCAACGACAAACGCATTGCCAATGTAAGACATGTGACGTAGGACTTTGGGTATACCCGTGCTTTGAAGCTTTTCATACGAAATTACACGATTAAATTATATTTTCTAGCTGCATTATAGATAAATTTATCTTTTACCCGTTATGCGTTAGTTTTTTGCTATTTAAATAAAGCGTTAATAATTGACCTCACATCCCTAGACGTGAAAAGATACGTTCTCTCGGCAGTGAAATTTAAGGGCGTCTTCGTTGGGATTGCCCCGTACCGAGGCAGCGTTTCTACGAGCGAAGAGGTTTATATCTAATCCTTAATTTCTTCTATTCCTTCCTCCATGAATGTACATTTTTGATTTGAGTTTCTTATTTGGGGTATTTAGGCTGGTTTTATTTGTCCCTTTTTGTGGAACAGGGGAACCGTTCGCCGAGAAAAAGGGACTTGGCGCGGCGCGAACTTCTGCCAGATTGACCGTGATGGACTAATGTCGGTACGAGCAGCCCCTAACTTTACCATCGTCCAATCGAAATTGACTTCGGAGGCTGAGTTGATTCGCATAAACTTTGCCTCGCCTCCTAACGGGCTCTCCTACGTGCTCAAAGCAGCTAAAGCGGTTCCTCCCGTCTATGTACCTCGGTATGCGTACCTACATGTATGAAATCATGGTTACCCGGAATCACTATCGTATGTACAGGTCTCGAAATTCTGCCAAATTTTCAGTGAGGGGGACGATCGGTTCTCTCCGACATCTTTATTTCCGAACGTTGCCACCGCGAGGCGCTGCGACTCGGGAAGGTATTGTTAACCGTTTAAGTCTCAGGGATCATTGAAAAATCAGTGCCGAAAAATGCCGAACAGCGCAATACCACTGTCTTAAGGTGATATAAACGTGGGATATATTGTTACCAAAAAATCTAAATTTTCATAAAACTTTTCTCTAAACTGGGTGCACCGAATTATTTGAAACTTTAACAGGGGATTATGTAGACTAAGGAAGAACGCGCTGCGTACTGTTTTTTTTAATCATGAAATTTAAACAGTACAATCGCGCTGCTTGGGACTGAAACTCTTTTTCAAAGTTACATAAAATTGTAATAGTCAGTATCATACAAGCCTTGAAAGCCAGGAGGCGACCTTGAAAGCCGAATTATTAAAAGAATTGTATTTCCTTTCCTGTTCAATTTGCCAAAATTCAAATCGTCGTGAGGTCTTGCATGACATGAAATTATTTTTAAGGCGGCTCCCTTCCAAAATTAGACCTCGATGTTTAAATTTTCAACCTGCTTAGTGCAAACAGTTTGACGGAAAAGAAATAGCGGAATGTGTAATCGATTATACCGTAGGCGGGACTCGTTTGGTAAAACAGCGCTCTTATACATCTCCCTTAACTTGGAGTCGAAAGAGGTCTTTCATGCATGCAGATGCAGAGCATTAGATCACTTCGCGTGGGGTAAGTAAGACGGCATTCAAGGAGAATCTCCTCGATTGTTATACGACATTGTCTTTTCTCGCATTGTCGCGGGCACGAATCCTCGTTTATTACCGAACAAACCATTCTGAGGTCGGAATGAATCATTCATCTTATCGTCTGCGACATTAATTCTTATTATTAAACGCACATCTTACTCACTTAAGGGGATGTGAATGTGGCATCCGAAAGCTCAATCGTTCATAAAACTTTTCAACGAACTGGGTGTCTCAAATCGTTTTATACTTTAAAACGGGAATATAGAAACCCTAAGGTAAGTCCTGAAACTCGCGAAATTTCATTTTTTATAAACTATTTCTAAAATACCTATAAACAAATTTGAAAAGAATTGGAATTTCATGAGTTTCAGGACCTTCCTTATAGTCTCTCTATTCACGTTGTAAGGTTTTAAAGTATTCAGTAAATCGAGTTGGGAGAAAAGTTTTATAAACAAAACCTCTTCGGCGCCATTTTCACATCACCTTAATGTTAATAAATTCAGAATTCCAAGTATTTCAAGTCGATGTAATAAAACGCGGGATAACTAATCTTGACGTTGTGATAAAAAGTTATTAATTTCTTCTCAATCCCTTCACAGAGAGAAATTGCCTAGAAGAAATGTAGTAACAGTTGAAAACTCCATCGTAAACAATATACTATATGGATATGATTATATCTATACTAAGATATAAAGACATCTCGAAATTCATTGGCTCGATTTCAATCGATTTTTTACAGATATGTTCCTTATAATCTTGTGGACTTTGTTTTATTGCTCTATCACATCAAGATGTTTATTGACATTAACAAAAATGTCAATTCCGTGATCTTAGAGATATTTACTGTTATTATAGTATTACTATTACTATAATCTCTATTCTGTATATTGTATTATATAGTAATGCAATCGAAATTATAAGATGAAAGAAGATAAACACCGAGCTTAATGGATATTAAATTTATATAGATGGGATCCGTACTACGATTTGAGTATGACTACTTCTTTTAACTCGCAATTTTAATTTTAGCGTCAAAGTCCCCCTTTTATTTTTAAGGTAATATGAAAGGGCCATTCGATATATATAGAACGTGAAAATATTTATAAAACTTTTCGCCTAACTGGGTGCACCAAATAATTTGAAACATTAACACGTAATTATAAAAGCCCTAAGGAAAAACGCGATGCTCGTGAAATTTCATTTTTCACAAAAGAAAAAATAAATGTGCTTTTGGTTCTAGTCTAGGCGAAATAGAAAGAAATTTTGTTTGAAAAATGAGATTTCACGAGCATTGCGTTCTTTCTTAGAGCCTCTATAATCACGTGTTAACGTTTCAAATGATTCGTCATACCCAGTTTGGAGAAAAGTGTTATAAATAATTTGACGTTTTTATATATAGAATGACCCTTTCATGTCATCTTAAGCATTTAAGTCAAATGTTTAAATCGAGTTTATTTATCAAGGGTGACTTAAGTAGGTGTCCAAATTACCCCTAGTAGCATAGAATAATTTCTAAATATTACTTCGTAATCTATACTAAATATCTCAAACGACAGATTTTTTTAAAATTTCTTGTAGATTTCATTCGATGATATTTGAAATATTTGTTGAAAATCTCAATGACATATTTAGTTTCAATAATTTATAAACATATATAGAGATTATATTTTTTAATTTATGAACATATAATAAAAATACATTTCTTTTACTTCACGATTATTATCGGACACTTTATTTGATATCAAAAGAGACAAGAAATTGTTATAATGTGTTCGTTCCGCTATTTCATTATAGGAGCAAAACGCGTGATTTTCATTTTAAATATTTTTAAAACGTTTATAACGTATTCGGCAGATAATATTTTAAAAAATACTTGCATTAAAATGAAACGAAATGTTTTGTATATCTGGTAGAAAAATATTATGAAAACACGTGGAGCCAATATTATATAAATATTATAGGGATAATATCCTAAAGTAAACGTTTTGCAAATATTTCAAATGTCTGCTAAATATTTACAAAATGTAGGATATTCGTTAAATATATTGAAATTATAGGACACATATTTTGTGCCACTAGGGACGCTTTGAGTCAAGGTAAGCAATGTAATGATTTGTTGGAGTTCTTTTAAATGACCTAACAAGGGGAAGTTGCTTAAAATAAGCGGAGTGAAAATTGAGGGGGCGGACACGGACTATTTATTACGGAGATAGGCGATATACCACGATTTCGCCTGAGAAACCCCCGGGCTCAGACGAGAGGTACTTCGAGGAATCTCCGCACCAGAAATCCGCTCTTCAATTTTTATCTCGGGGATATTTAACAGAGGGAGTAACTCCGGTTTCTCGTGAGTTTCTGATCCCTCTTCCGGATGAGATAGCGAAGTTACAGCGATCGATCGAGCCCGCGGGGTTGAAACACCTCGATCGGCCGATACCACCTGTTACACATATTTCCTAAATTTACTGCCGTTTAATAAGGAACATAAGACTACTCTAAAAATAAATATTTTGATTATTTCTGTAGGGACCATTTAATGATCAAGGAAACTCACGCGAAACTTAATACTAATTCAAACATTCGCAACATCCCTAGTAGCGCAAAATATTTGTCCTATATTTTCTATATATTTAATGAATATCGTACATTTTGTAAATGTTAAGCAGACATTTGTAATATTTGCAAAACGTTTACTTTAGAATATTATCTCTATAATATTTATATGATATCAGCTCCATGTGTTTTCATAATATTTTTCTACCAGATATACAAAACATTTCGTTTCATTTTAATACAAGTATTTTTTAAATATTATCCGCCAAATACATTATAAACGTTTTAAAAATATTTAAAATCAAGTTCACACGCTTTGCTCCCATAATGAAATAGTGGAACGAAAATATTACAAAAATGTCTGGTTTTTTTTATATCAAATGAAGTGTCCGATAATAGACGTGAAGTAAAAAATGTATTTTTATTATATTAATAAGTTAAAAAATATTTCTTTATATGTTTATAAATTATTGAATCTAAATATGTCATTGAGATTCTCAACAAATATTTCAAATATCTTCGAATGAAATCTACAAGAAATCTTAAAAAAATCTGTCGCTTGAGATATTTAGCAAAGATTACAAAGAAATATTTAGAAATTATTCTATGCTACTAGGGTTAATCACGCGCCGACGCCATCTTGATTTTCTCCATCCAGCAGATGAGACTAAGAGGTTTCGCTTCTTTGCGAAATATCATCGTTTCGCGGAACTAATTATCTGACATTTTTCAATCCTCACCACAGCCTGATTAACTTCGACTAGAAATGACCGCGATAAATCCCGGGGAGTAATATTTCTCTGCCACGTAGACTCAACTGTACTTGCGACGCCCCGATGCACGCCGTCCGCCATTTTGGTTTTCAGCCCCAGCGCAGCGTTACATGCTATTCCTCGCGATTATCGCGGTTTTTCGGACCCTGAGGCTCTCATTTAACAGCGATTGTCCATTACGCGTAGGATCGTGCATTGTTTTCACCAAATCGGGTTATAAGTAACGCTGGGAGATATGGCGGGGCTAAAATTAGCCCCGTAAAGTGTCCCGTGCGCAGTCGTCAGCCATTTGCGCATCGACGTTACTCTTAAGATGAAGTGAAACCCCCTTCAAATCAGTCCATTTGAATACAACACTATTTTTTAAGGGTATTAGACCAAATTGTCCGAAACAGACACATCACTCCTGATCATCTAAGAATTGTCCTGACACATTTAAAATTTGGATTTTTGGAACAAATTTTTTAACTTGGCCCAGACCAGAACCAAAATGGCGTCGAGCTCTCATATTTCGATCAATATACAATTATCAAAGGTTCTGATATGAGAATCGAAAGGGTCAGGACAATTTTACGACAATTTACAACACTCTGGTAATCGATAAACTCGCATTTGAACGGGATAAAGGCAAAAAAAGTGTTGTATGCGCTTCTATGCTAAAACGACGGGAATACGAGGTCTCGGAGTGAAAATTTAATTGACCTGGAAATCACAAATGGCGCCGGGGATCCCTCTGCAGTCAGTTAGGCCTCCAGAAAGCATGAATCCAGAGGATTTCTGGAGTTTTACTTCGATTTCTTTATAATTATTGTACGAAAACGACAGGTGGAGTATGCCATTTGGTACAATACCCAATATAATTCGACACACCTGTCAATATAAAAACGAACATCGGTAACGTACGTATTCAGAAAAATCTTCTTTATCGACGTCGATCAAGTTCCTCTACGTGTTTCACTTCACCTTAAGAAGATTCGGAAAACTCGAGGCGGAGGGAGTTAACACCAAGGTGTCTTGTCGAAATTAACGATTCCTTTTTTACAGCCCGTTAAAGCGGAGTTATCGGCTGTTTACACGTGGCCCCGAGAGATCGCGAGTTAGGTCGCAGCCGCGGAGCTCTCATAAGGCGTGCACACGCCGAAGCGGCCATCTTCTTGCACGAACGATGCCATTCGCCTTAGTTTATCCGAGAATTGGCCATGTAGAGCATAAACCGCTTTGCGAAACCTTCCAGAACCAACTGCAGGCTGCCCACGTGGCAGAGTTCATTCTCGACATGTCTACGGGCGAGTTAATCTCTTCCGAGGACGTTTTTCCTTTTTCCAAGATGGCGGCTTTTAGTTGGTAAGGGCAAAGAGTCTCCCTACAAGTAAGATATGATTGTGATTTTCTGTAACATGTGAGGAGACTTAGAATCGTTTAGGTGAAGTGAAACCCCTCTCAAATCAGTCGATTCGAATAAGACACTTTTATTTAAGGGTATTCGATAGAACTGTTCAAAACTTTGACACATGACTCGTAAGCACCTAGGTATTATCTTGACATTTTCAAAATTTTGACTTTTTTTATAAAAATTTGTTGACAGCCTAGAACAGAACGAAAATGGCGTCGAGCTCTTATATTTTGATCGATATACAATTATTTAAGGCTCTAATATGAGAAACGAAAGGGTTAGAAGAATTGTACGACGACTTTATAATACTGTGGTAATTAAGAAACTCGCATTTGAATGGGATAAAGGCAGAAAAGTGTCTTATACGCTTCTATGCTAAAACGATGGTAATATGAGATCTCGGAGTGAAAGTTTAGTTGTCACTGAAATTACAGATGGCGCAGGGGATCCCTCTGTAGTCAATTAGAGCCTCTAGAACCATGAATTCAGAGGATTTCTGGAGTTTTACTTCGAGATTTTTATGATTATTGTTATATGGGATTTATGATTATTGTACGTAAACGACAGACGGAGTATGCCATTTAGTATAATACTCCTACTTCTTTACTTTAGTATAATATAATTCGAAAGAGCTGTCAATATTAAAACGAATGTCGGCAAACTAGGTGTTTAGAAAAATCTCTCTATCGTAAATGTCGTCGAGTTTCGATAATACTTGATATTAATTACTCATAGAGTACAGTACAGTATTATAGAAATTGCTCCCTAGAATATAATAGTATTGAAATCAATTTCACGGGGAATTGCATAAAATTACCACGAATTTCGCTCATGCACGTAAATACAATTAATACTTTCTACATTATATTCTTAGTTTAGACAAATTTAGACTTTAAATTAGTAGCCCAATTTAAAGTCCAGAAAAGTTCAGGGTATTTATAATTTAATCCACTTTCTAAGAAGCTTAGTGCATTCACTGAGCTTTAGGTATCAACAGGTGGTAAGTACCGCCATTTTCGCCCGTTTTGATTTTTGAAACTTTAATGGTTCTACAGTCCGAATTTTCCGTGAAATTATAAAGAGAAAAGGAAAATCAAGGTTTACAGGAAATTGTCACAATTTTTTAATAATTTTACCAAGTTATTAAATTTCTATAACACTGTAATGTCTTCAGCAGTATGTACGAAAAACATGTTAAAAAAGAAAAAAATAATTGCAGCTGTTTTGTTTTCTTAGGTCATGCGATATTTTACCGCATATACAAAAAGTATCTTAAACGTATCGATTGAGTTTAAAACAGCTTCCTTTTCTATAAAAGATAAGAATTGCTGATAAAGAGAACAAATAAATATTGTATAGGAATTAAAAAAGTTAGGATTTACTATTAAGATCTTAATTATTTCCAGGGATTGAAGTCGTTAAAGGGAATAGTAACTAATAAGCCGCAAAAAGATAATAAGTATGTAAATGTTTCACTTTTCGATACTCTTAACACACTTACTTAACATGCAAACTCAAATGTACTATCATACTACATACAACGTTTCATATAAATAATTAACACCTAAATGTATTTGTGTAATAAGTGCAAAGAAATTGTTTACGCGTTTAAACGAAGAAGGGGTACATATTTTATTTTTGTATAAATATCTATCAATTGAAATTGAACCTAGTTGAAGGGTAAACTGTTCAAACGAAAAACGAGATTATTTAGGGAATGGATATTTCCAGGGCGTGCGTACTTTCTATAAATATCTATAACATGAAATAGAACTGAAGATGAAGGTAAAAGGGTTTTAAAGGAGCGTAATATAAAATATTTACGAAATATGAAAATTCCAGAATTCACAAAGTTGACTCTTTTAGATGGATACATTTGATAGGGGAAATGTAACAATTGGTGGCAAATTTTCTCAGGAGGCGAAGAATTTCAAGTCTTACGAATGATGCGTCGAAACTTTCAAGGGATGAAACTACGAGAAAAAAAAAACAGAAAGAAAAAACATTGAATATTTGACGGATTCATTACTGGCTCGAAGTGATATCCAGGAGACGAAGATCTTCGAGACATTGACGAGCGATTGTCTCTCTCTACCCTGATAAACATGCTCATGTCAATTTGCATACTCAATCATTGGTTATTTTGATGCCACAATTAATTGCAGTAAAGTTACGTTATCTGTATAATATCACATTCAGCATGTAAGTTAAGTTAAAGAAAACTATAACGTAATATTACATCCAATTCGAGTGAAAATGCACTAATACGGTAAATATCCAATGTTACGTATATTTATACATTTTATGATTTGTAATTTTTCCATTTTACGTTTCCCTATGTAAACCTTCAGTTATGAGGTATGTAAAAATGTATGTAAATTTCCATCGCTTTTTATCAGTGTACATGTCCAAAGTCGACATCTATCGATATGTTTCTAATGTATTCAAATACGAAGCTCTTGAAATGCTTTTCAAATTAGTTTAAACATCGATACGTTTAAAAGAAAAGCTCGCGATGCAATGTTTTATTTCAGGATGTGGAGGAGAAATATATGCAAGGACCTTTAGGGGGCGAAGAATTCCAAGGACTTATGAGCGATGCGTCGAAATTTTCAGGGAATGAAAACGGCGAAAGAAATACAGCAAAACATGAACAGGAACCATAATACAATTTCCAGACGATACGATTCCATTTCAATATTGGCAGGTTTTTAAAGAAAAGCTCGCGATGCAAGGTTTTATTTCAAGATGCGGAGGTGAAATAAATGCAAGGACCTTTAGGGGGCGAAGAATTCCAAGGACTTATGAGCGATGCGTCGAAATTTTCAGGGAATGAAACCGGCGAAAGAAATACAGCAAAACATGAGCAAAAACCATGAGACAGTTTCCAGACGATACGATTCCATTTCAATATTGCCAGGTTTTAAAGAAAAGCTCGCGATGCAACGTTTTGTTTCAGGATGTGGAGAAGAAATAAATGCAAGGACCTTTAGGGGGCGAAGAATTCCAAAACTTATGAGCGATGCGTCGAAATTTTCAGGGAATGAAACCAGCGAACGAAGTGCAGCAAAACATGAACAGGAACCACAAGACAGTTTCCAGACAATACGATTGCATTTCATTATTGACACGTTTTAATGAAAAGCTCGCGATGCAACGTTTTGTTTCAGGATGTGGAGGAGAAATAAATGCAAGGATCTTTAGGGGAAGAAGAACTTCGAGGCTCATAAGCGATGCGCCGAAACTTTCAGGGGATGAAACCGGCGGAAGAAATGCAGAAGAACATGCGCAAAAACCATAAGACTATCTAGAGGCGATATCCAAGAGAAGAAGAACCTTTTTGAGACGTCGATGAGTCATATTTTAAGTGTCTCGTTTAACATACGTACTCTATACAAATTTGCGTTTACAGAAACGTCAAAGGATTTCCGTCTGAAGATTCGCAGTTACCGAAACGTATTTAATGCATTCAAGTACGAAGTTCTTGAAGTAATTTTCAAATCAGTATAAAGGAAACATTGGCACGTTTTAAAGAAAAGCTTGCAAAGCGACGTTTTATTTAAGGACAAAGGGAAGTAGAAGCAAGGACATTTGGGGGGCGAAGAATTCCAACACTTACAGGTGGCGCGTCGAAACTTTCAGGGGATGAAACCGGCGGAAAAGGTAGAGCAGTATATGGAAAAATTGCCCAGGAACCACGAGACTGCCTCGAGGCGATATCCAGGACACCAAGGACCTCTTCGGGACGTTCACGGGGTGTAGATGAAGCGATTGGTCTAACGCACCCTGGTGTATATATACCCGAAGAGTCGCACCCGCCAACGCGCCCCCCGGCTGCGCTCAGGATCCCGCGATTGCGTTTACTCGCGCAGATCACTCTCCGAATTTCCCTCTCCCCCTTTGTCAGAATTTTCGATTTCCCCGAAACTTCGACTCCCCATTTGTCGCCTCGGATTGCTTAAGCTCAAATTTCAAGGAATTTTGAAGGATTTTCAAAGATTTTTAAGAATTTTTAAAGAATTTCAAAGAATTTCCATGAATTTCTTTTAGATTTGCTCCCTAACAGAAAGGAACCCTAGTAGCATTAGAATAATTTCTAAATATTTTTTTGTAATATTTNGAAAACACATGGAGCTAATATCATATAAATATTATAGAGATAATATTCTAAAGTAAACGTTTTGCAAATATTTCAAATGTCTGCTAAATATATACAAAATGTACGATATTCGTTAAATATATAGAAAATATAGGACAAATATTTTGTGCTACTAGGGAAATGTCTCATGGCGTGTAAGTGCATACTCTCGAAGTACACATAAGGCCATTCGACTTGTTTACCTTTAATTATCATAAAGTATATCTTGAGTATACTTTATTTAAATGGGATGCATAATGTGCATGTTACAATTACCTATTAAGACGCGGTTCTATTCATTTAATTATGAACGATCTAACGAGGAAAGCTGGATAAATTACAATACTCCGAGGGTATATATTTGCGTAATTGCATTTGTTTTGAGAATTGTGGAGGTTTAAAAAATATTTCTTCTACGCGAGTTTTAGTGAAATTAGGGTGGATTATTTGTGGCCTATTAAGTCGCGGTTCTATTCATTTAATTGTGAACGATCTAACGAGGAAAGCTGGATAAATTAAAATACTCCGAGGGTATATACTTGCGTAATTGCATTTATTTTGAGAATTGTCGAGGTTTAAAAATATTTGTTCTACGCGTGTTTTAGTGAAATTAGGGTGGATTATTTGTGGCCTATTAAGTCGCGGTTCTATTCATTTAATTGTGAACGATCTAACGAGGAAAGCTGGATAAATTAAAATACTCCGAGGATATATATTTGCGTAATTGCATTTATTTTGAGAATTGTCGAAGTTTAAAAAATATTTCTTCTACGCGAGTTTTAGTGAAATTAGTGGATTTGTTGTGACGATAGCGGATTAAGTATCTGGCTATGTAATAATTCTGCATTTTTCTTTCCCGTTAAGCTTTTTTTCTATTGATTGCTCGTAAAGTCAATGTCAAAGGGAACATTTGACAGACGACCGCGATACGCGGGTAAATCGTGCGCAAAATAACCGACTTGAGCCATATGTTCGTGTTTGAACGTCTCCGACATTGATCTCGAGAATCCTCGCTGATTCAGATTCAGATAAACCATGGTGCCCGATTTTTCCGGGTTTTCCTCGGCGGAAAAGGGAAATGCGGTGGAACTGTGAATCTAAGGGGAGAACGAGTTATTTCCCCTTCCTGTTCTATATTAATTTAATTATTAAAATGTGTAATTGTTTAGTGGAAGCTATATTTGCATTTCATATGTGTGCTACATACGTATGTATAACATTATTCAATAAATGCACAATCCATGTATGTAGTATACATATGTATGAAATATAAATATATTTTCGTGAGGGGAGAACGAGTTATTTCCCCTTCCTGTTTTATATCAATTTAATTATTAAAATGTATAATTGTTTAGTGGAACCTATATTTGTATTTCGTATACATTATCCGAAAAACTCCAGGACAAAGAAGATTCCTTTTCTCTTCTTTTCCCAACGTCGGAGGAAGAGATGCAAGTAGGAGAAACGCTAGATGTCGATCTTCTAGAAAAGAGAGCTGCTCTTCTCCAGAAAGCAGAGAACGATAAAAAGTCGCGCTTTCGTATCACCTTAATAAATTCTTTTTTTTTTTTCGAAATTACACGGCTCGCCGTTATCCGAAGAACTCCAGGAAAAAGAAGATTCCTTTTCTCTTCTTTTTCCAACGTCGGAGGAAGAAATGCAAGTCGGAGAAACGCTAGATGCCGATCTTCTAGAAAAGAGAGCTGCTCTTCTCCAGAAGGCAGAGAACGACAAAAGGTCGCGCTTTCGTATCACCTTAATAAATTCTTTTTTTTTTTAATTACACGGCTCGCCGTTATCCGAAGAACTCCAGGAAGAAGAAGATTCCTTTTCTCTTCTTTTTCCAACGTCGGAGGAAGAGATGCAAGTCGGTCGAAGAGAAGAAACGCGAAGAACTCCAGAAAAAAAGAAGATTCATTTCCTCTTCTTTTCCTAACGTCAGAGGAAGAGATGCAAATCGGTCGAAGAGGAAGAACGCGAGATGCCGATCTTCTAGAAAAGAGAGCTGCTCTTCTCCAGAAGGCAGAGAACGATAAAAGGTCGCGCTTATGGCCTTACGATAAGTCGAAGGGGAGCTTCCTTCCGGGTGTCTTGTCTAATTTACGAGCGTTTACGACTAACCAAGCGATTCTTATCCTTCCCGCTAACCTGTTTGCTCTTGAAATCGGCGAGAATGGCGATTATCGATAGGCGAGAGGCGTTAAGAGCCCCTCGTAAGCGTTTGGTCGAAATTCCCTTTTCCGGAGGGGAAGAAATTCCGAGGAAATCCGGAAGTATTGTCTCCCCCGAAAATGCCGCCTCGTTTAATTGTTAATAATCGCGGGGAAGGTTTACGCGACATATGCGCCTGTAATCGCTTTATCTGACGCGGATTGCGCTTATCTATCACGTGCTATCCATAGCGGCTTATGAGTTTTCTTTTTAATTAGGAATTAATCACTCGCAAAGCGACACGATTGGAACGTGACGCGGCGCTGATTATATTTGCAATTTCTAATATGTTTAACATATTTAAACGTGGATTCAAATCGCATTTACCGTGATTCTACAATTCTTCCGGAAGGACTTTTTTGTATAAATCGTTCGTTTCAATGGTTGGGAAAAATTTATTCACACTGTTACGTATTAAATGATATAATATTCAAGATGGCAAATTTGGATCTGACGCGCACGAATCTTTAGAAGTAATTGTTATTGCGATATCGCTCATAGATTTTAGGACGTCAGGGACATTTTCCTCAATTTCTTCAAAGACGAACTGCATAATTGCGATACTACTCTCGAAGGCTTAATAAATTAGGGTGTAATCAAATAAATATTCAAGATGGCCAATTTGGATCTGACGTGCACGACTCTTTAGAAATAATTGTTATTACGATATCGCTCATAGATTTTAGAACGTCAGGGAAATTGTCCTGAATTTCTTCAAAGACAAACTGCATAATTGGGATTCTACTCTCGAAGGCTTAATAAATTAGGGTGTAATCAAATAAATAATCAAGATGACATATTTGAATCTGACGTGCACGACTCTGTAGAAGTAATTGTTATTACTATATCGCTCATAGATTTTAGGACTTCAGAGACATTTTCTCAATTTCTTCAAAGACGAACTGCATAATTGCGATACTACTCTCGAAGGCTTAATAAATTAGGGTGTAATCAAATAAATATTCAAGATAGCAGATTTGGATCTGACGTGCACGACTGTTTAGAAGTAATTGTTCTTACGATGACGCTCATAGATCTTAGAACATCAGGGAAATTTTCCTGTATTTCTTCAAAGACGAACTGCATACTTGAGATACTACTCTCGAAGGCTTAATAAATTAGGATATAATTAAATAAATAAATTAGTAAATAAACGAGCGAATAGCAGAATGTATTGTCGCAATCTTGTACAGTCAAGAGGCATTCTTTGGAATGTTCCAAAATTGATGAGCGATGGTACAGGTACATCATTGTTATTATATATTACACGAGCATGGCCAGTAATAATATGACATTTATTCGTACTATTAATTGTGCTTTTCTTTTTTAATAGGAGAAGAGAACATTCTTCATTTGCTTATAATGCTTCAGGGTAGAATGCCCATTTTATTGACACGATTTCAAGCCATGTGCGCAGATTATTACAGTCATAACAAGATATTTCCATGTATATCTTTGAGTAGGCGATTACCAGGACCACGGGGAATGGAGCTGTGCCCACACAGGCTATGTGATATCCACTTTATGTTCATAAAGCAGTCGGTGGATTGCTTTGCGTCTAATAGACTTTTGTTGAGGGTCCAATATCCACGCGTTTTGTAAAAAAAAAAAAAGAAGTCACTTTGAACACTCTTAAGATGATATGAAAGGCGCTGAGAAATTCAATCGAGGTCGATAAATTAAAATTCATCTGTACCCTTTTTGGTGATAACGTCATTTTGCATACCCAAGTGGTAACATAAGCTGGCGCGTCACGTAACCGATATTTATATTTATGTTGAAGTCTTTTACAGTCCATGTTGAGAATTATACGAACTAAAGCGTTCCATATGTCATTTCGGTAAAGCAATGACGAAGAGTTCGACGTAAAACTGACGATATCCCATAAATTCATATTCTAACGACTGTTTAGAACCAACGTCGCCATCTGTGACGTTTAGCTGGAACTAAATTTGTGCTCTAAAAACACGTGTTAACCCCGAGACAAGCCAGTATTCTCTTGCAATCGTTGGCAAAAGAATTTTCCATATTTTCCCATCTAACTCCGTGATGTTCCAATTCCACGGTATTCTAAATCGTTCGAGCTAGGTCCTCAAACTCACCATTTTCGCTTCTAAGCCTCCAAGAAATGTAAAACATCGAAAACGTGTACGGACCGCGCATGTTGGTTCTAGTCCACGGTAAGTAAATAAATTTTTGATTAAAATTGAAATTTCATGAGTTTCAGGACCTACTTTAGGGCCTCCATGTTCCCGTGGTAAAATGTCGAACTAATCGGCACCCCCAATTCGGGGAATGCTTTCCCTAGCGATTTGACTTCTCAGATATAGGCTTACTCTTTCATATCACCTTAACGCGAAGATAGTAAACCAGACGAGGAAGTGAAACGTCATGTGTAGATTTTATTTCTCAATATTCGGACGTACAGTGATGCAGAGTCTCAGGTTCTACGTGACGCGGCAAGCGTTTTACCCAAGTACATAACGTGTGCACCCGTGTTATCATTCCCAAGGCCCTCACACACAGGAGTCAAAGCCCTATACTGCGCAAGTGTGTCATCCTTACACGTGTAAAGGTCAATCGCACATCGATGAATGACGAGGAACAGGTATCGAGCTATGACGTACCTACGAATCTAATAGTAAAATGGCACTATCTGCAGTCGGTACGGTCATGCGCTCTTTAAACGATATAACGCAATAACAATTTATATAATATATATATATATATATATGTATAATATACCTCTGTCTTAATTCACAATTCAATATCTCTCTCCTTCTCTCCCGGCTCTTCGATAATATCTCTCTTCTCCTTCTTTCTCGTATCACAAAATATACAGTCTACTCAATATAATATTCGCATGATATACATATAAAATGGAAGGTGATGTGAGTTCTTCTTTTATTCTCTTGCGCACTCTCTTTCACTCTTTAGACATTCTCTCGTTGGATTTTACATTAACGATTAACTTTAAGGCTATGTATAAATACTCGGCATTCGTCTATACAGAGGGCTAATTAGAGCCTGTCGAAGCATCGTCGAGAATCGAGGGCAAGTAATGACCCTACAATGTATGGTACAACTAAATTGCTACGCTAAGGCTACTTTCCTTTTTACAAACCACCAAAGGATTCCTTATCGTCCTCCTTATCTAGCTCCATAGCTAATACACTGTCTCGAAGCACTTTACAAGCCATCGTTACCGGGTGAGTTAACCGATCCGATTAATTTCTCAGGATTTTTGGAGATGAAGAAACAAGCGGTAATAAAATACTTCCGTTCTAAAGAGCGTTACCTTAAAAGCACCTCTCGCCATCTTGTTTTTTCCTCCAGACGGTACAAGTAGTATCGAAGAAATAATTTGTTAATAACATCGCTAGTTCATGAGGATTTATAATAATGAAGAAAAACATACTCCCTGGTTCAGGTATTTACGCGAAGAAGCGACTCTTTGTCCCACCAAGGCTGATGGACAAAGAAGAAACTGTAATGTCGGTAAGCTCACTCGGTAAAGAGGGTCCTTTACAAAGCTCTTTAGCACGCCGTTTAATCAGAGACGGGCATAATTAACGCTGAATACATATTTATACAATTATTGCTCGCGTTAGATCACCGCGACTCCTTATCCTTGGGAATAATTAGGCGTGGTTCTAACTGGTTAATTGCGACACCTAGTGCACCAATAAATACCGATTCGATAGAGACGAAGCTTAACCTAATGAGGGGGCCCTCTTAACGTTAGCCCATCCCTGATTTAGATTCGCATACTTTTCGCCAAAACACCCGGAAATTGACGCTTGACGAAGAAAGATATGTGCCTGTATGCCTTGTAGACTCAAGTGAAAAATCATAGGTCTACTAGAAATTCTAATGCTCGGCACGGCGGAAGCGCGCCTGTTTAAGTACGCACTTAGGTTTCCGTAAGTACAAATTATCACTCGAGTAAAAAGAATAAAGATAGGAAGAGAAATGAGATAACGAAAATCGCGTAGAAAACGCCTCGGCGGCACTTCCTCATCGCGACGAAGCGGCCTAAGCGGAATTTAATATCGAACTCGATCATCGATTAATTAATGCCCACTAATACCAACGCTGGGCCGTAGTCGAAGCGGTACGTCGGAAGTGTCTAAGGAACAATTGGAATGCGCGTTTTGAGTACCTACTCCGAGTGGAATACATTTAAGTGACTAATAAACGCAGCTATTGATCTTTTTAGCTTTCAGGGAGATCCCCTGAGATTCGATAGAAGTCTACGTTTCAAGTTGCAAGGCTTTTTATAGTGCCTACCAGACAATATGATCTGGAAGGAGTTGCTTAATCAGTCACTTCGAACGTTTCAAGTCCCTACTCCGAGTGGAATGCATTTAAGTGACTAATAAATGCAGAAATTAATTTTTTTACTGTCAAAGAGATCCCCCGAGACTCGATAGAAATCTACGTTTCAAGTTGCAAGGTTTTTTGCAGTGCCTGCCGGGTAACATGATCTCGACGTAGCTGCTTAATTAGTCAGTTAGAACGTTCCAAGTCCCTACTCCGAGTGGAATGCATTTAAGTGACTAATAAATGCAGCGATTAATTTTTTTTAGCTATCAAAGAGATCCTCGGAGACTCGATAGAAGTTTCAAGTTGCAAGGCTTTTTGCAGTGCCTACCGGATAACTTGATCTCAACGTAGCTGCTTAATTAATCAGTTAGAACGTTCCAAGTCCCTATTACGAGTGGAATGTATTTAAGTGATTAATAAATGCAGAAATTAATTTTTTTAGCTGTCAAAGAGATCCTCGGAGATTCGATAGAAGTCTACATTTCAAGTTGCAAGGCTTCTTGCAATGTCTAGTCCGGATAACATGACCTGGAAGAAGCTGCTCGATTAGTCACTTAGAAGTACGATTTTTGCGATATAGATACTTCGTGGGATAAGCTGAAGAGTCGTGCGACGTATAATATCCGGAGTGGTACTTGGCCCAGCACTGGCCCCGCAAATACGTGGATTCTTAAATTTACAATCTAGACCTTCTTGAGCATGTGCAGGTGGAGCACCTCGGGGATTTCGACGTCCTCCAGCCGGATGTTCGACGGGTTGAATGGGAACCGCACCGGGTAGGAGTACTTCAGGTCCATTAAGAGCTGCGGGAAGAAAAGGATTTAATATTTATATACTTTTGTTTTTATAAAGCTCTCTAGTTAAAACAATGGTACACTAGCGGACATCAAAAGTTTCATAAACCCCTCGGACGCTATTTTCATATCTCCTTTAATTTGTAATTTCTTTTTAAGAATAAAATAGAAAATGTCTAGACGAGTGTCACAGAAGTTGCGTGTGTAGAGAAGGGCTGAAGTAGAACAAGGAAGACGGCATTGATAAAAGGGACCGTATTCGTAATAGGATTGTCCTCTTCAAAGGAAAACCGGTAACTTTGCAAAGACATTATTCTCGGTCAAGGATGATACAACTGGACCGGGTCAAATCATGCAATTAAGAGATGAAGAGATGATTCCTTCTTACCTGGTCGTTGTTCTCCCCTCGCTCGTTCAGCTTGACCTGTACCTGCCTAATGAACGAAACCGGGACCCTTAACTCGAAGTCGTCCGCCGGGGTGTACAGGTTCAGGATTTTCACAATTTGATTAGCGGTGAGCTTATTGCACATGTCACAGACGGATTGCACGTCCTCGTCCGTCTTCCTGGCCTGCAGGAGCTGGGCGGCTTGAATGATGGGCTGCAGAGCTTCCGCGGCTGCTACGAGCTTCTGGTCCCTCGCCCACTGTTCAAGATGGCTCAAGTTGTACCTGAAGAGCAAGAACGACAGACCATTATTAATAATTCATCTTCTCAGTGAAGAAAGAAAAGAAATCCTTGGGTCGAGTAGATCATCATTGCCTATTATTAACCGTTTGACTCCCAAGGGTCTTAATTGGACAAATTTGTATAGCAAAAAACGTCCGGCTTGCTGGGATTAAGGTGAAGTGAAACACGTCAAGGAACTTGATCGACGTCGATGAAGAAAATTTTTTTTAAATACCTACGTTGCTGACGTTCGTTTTTATATTGACAGCTGGGTCGAATTAGATTGGGTATTGTACCAAATGGCATACTCCACCTATCGTTTTCGTACAATAAATATCAACAAATCGAAGTAAAACTCCAGAAATCCTCTGGATTCGTGCTTTCTGGGGCCCTAATTGACTGCAGAGGGACCCCCTGCGCCATCTGTGATTTCCAGGTCAATTAAATGTTCACTCCGAGACCTCGTATTACCATCTTTTTAGCATAGAAGCGCATACAACACTTTTTTTGCCCTTATCCCATTCAAATGCGAGTTTATCGTGTCAGGACAATTCTTAGATGATCACGAGTCATGTGTCAAAGTTTCGGACAGTTTGGTCTAGTACCCTTAAGAAAAAGTGTTGTATTCGAATCGACTGATTTGAAGGGGGTTTCACTTCATCTTAATATCTCCTAGAAGGTACATTTTTCATACAAAATCAATCTTCCCGGAGAAATTTGTATAGCGAAACACATTTAGGTTGCTGCGATTAATTTCTCCTAGAAAGTACATTATTTCGTCCAGTGTACCCTAGGTCCAGAAGAGGCCTCACCTGATCTGCATGCCCTTGGTCCAGTGGCACAGCTCGTTCCTCAGCAACAGGTTATTCAGGGCGCTCGCGCACATGAAGTAGAAGAGCTGCTTGAAGAGCTGCACGATGATCTCCGGGTCCACCCCGTGGTACTGTAGGATCTTATGCACCGAGCTGAGCTCGTCGAGGAGCTTGTCCAGCTTCTGCTGGGTGGAGTCCGGCTCCTCTCCCATCGACGAGGAGCGAGGTCGACCTGGCTTGTTCGAGTTCAATCCAGAGATCGCCTCGTGCTCCAACAAGGCAGGCACCGTCAACGCCTGGATGCGCTCCTTCAGGTTGGTCACGATGTTGTTGAAGATCCACAGGGCCACGTTACTGAGGACGGTCCGATACTCGCTGAGGTCGAAGTTACGCAGACACTGATCGTTCTGCCGAGGGGTGTTCTCTATCTGGAAGGGCTTGTCCCCGGAGTACTGCTTCATGGTGTGCAACAATCTCAGGTTGTTGCTCAGCCACAGAACTCTCGACTCGAAGTCCTCGCGCTTCTTCATAACGCGCTTCACCGCATTCAGGTACTCCGTCAGAAGGGAGCGTACCTTCTCGTCGTCGTTTATGCAGTCGGTGTGTCTTATGCACATGAAGAGGATGTAGGCTGGGAGACCAGGCAGCAAGGTCACCGCCACTCTGGGCTTCAGATCTGAAAGGACGCAAAATAGCGATTCAAAAGATCCTCAAAACTGGGTTAAAAGAACATCGCCGCGTGACACGGTGCTAGTGAAATTTCCTGAGTTAAAAAGAATCATTATTAATTTCTCTGCATAATTCTTTCACGAAATCCACTAAAAAATGTAGGGAATGTAGGGAAAATGTAGGGAATGAAGAATTACGAAATATGCATTTGGAATTTGTCGAAAAAATTCATTTTTAAGGGGTGAGCCACCCCTTTGAATACTTCTTTTACCCCTTACGCGAGCAGTAATAGTTCTATCCTAATGAAACTATTTTTGGATTGTTCTGGTCTATAAATTAACCAAGTTTCATTTGGATAGAGCAATTACTGCTCGCGTAAGGAGTAAAAGAAGTATTCAAAGGAGTGGCTCACCCCTTAAAAATGAATTTTTTCGAAAAATTCCAAATGCATGTTTCATAATTCTTCATTCCCTACATTTTGACGGTTGTTTCATGAAAATCGGTCGAGTGCTTCTATATGAAACAGCCAATTCACCCCCTTGCATGGCCAACCTTGAAGCCTAATTTCACCCCCTAAAAGTGTTTATCCGTCGATAAAAAAAAACACGGGTCCCTTAGATTTTAGTCCTCTATAACATATTTAAAAATGAACAAAATCGGAGGGGGACACCTCAGGTTCCTTCCTTGTGAGAAATTGGTAACTACCTATCACGAGGTGTCGAATTATCACGCCGATGTCCTCCGCTCGGAACTCGAACATCCCCTCGTAGTCTCTTTCTTTCTTTCTGATCGCCGGCATGTTACTTCCGCTTTCACCGGATGAATGCGTTGTTGTGGAGACCACGGCGTCATTTACAGACTCCACGCTGTCTGGCACTAGAAAGAAGAAACAGAAAAATGAACAAAATGAAAACATTGTCTTTAAGAATCTGAAATTAACGTAGTGGTCTTCGAACCTTCGCCTAAGGAACAGATAAACGGAATACCCGATACTCACCGGCACTCTTTATGCCGTGAGGACGAGTCTTGTTTCCCTTATCGTCTTCGTCGCCTTTGCAAGCGTTAGGATAAGATTTTTGTACATTTATTATCGAAAGCTTTTATGGCTTTAATTAGATTGGCTAATTATTATATATATATAGTAGAACTTGAAAACGAATATTTAAATACTTACAGCCAGCATCCCTGAGGCGTTTCGCAAGGACCTTGCACTGCTTTCTCAGCTTCCGGCATTCCTCGGCCAGTTTGTCGTACTTCTCCTGCAGATCCTGTATTATAAAATAGATCCATTAGTTTACATTCACAATTATACAGAGGGTTATCTAGTAGGATGAGCCTACCGGAGCTATCTCTAAATGATTCAGGGACAAACACCTTAATTTCCTAAGTTCCATGACGTTAAGATGATATGAAAGGCGCTGAGAAATTTAATCGATGTCGATAAAACAAAATTCAGCTATACCCGTTTTGGCGGTAATGTCATTTTGAATATTCAAGTGGTAACATAAGCTGGCGCGTCCCGTTACCGACGTTTATATTTATGTTGAAGTCTTTTACAGTCCACGTTGAGAATTATACGAACTGAAGCGTTCCATGTGTCATTTCGGTAAAGTAATGACGAAGAGATCGACGTAAAACTGTTGAAATTCCGTGAATTAATTATTCTAACGATTATTTAGGACCAACGTCGCCATCTGTGACGTTTAGCTGCAACTAAATTTTTGCCCTAAACACGCATTACCCCCGAGACAAGCCAGTATTCTCTTGCAATCGTTGGTAAAATTATTTTCCACATTTTCCCATCTAACTCCGTGATATTCCATTTCCACGGTATCCTAAATTGTTCGAGTTAGGTCCTGAAACTCTTCATTTTCACTTCAAAGCCTCCAAGAAGCGTAAAACATCGAAAACGTGCACGGGCCACGCATGTTAGTTCTAGTCCGTGATAAATAAATGAATTTTGTATGAAAAATGAAATTTCACGAGTTTCGGGACCTACTTTAGGGCCTCCATATTCCCGTGGTAAATTTTGAAACGAATCGGTACTCCCAATTCAGGAAATACTTTCCCCAACGATTTGACTTCTCAGATATGTACAGGTATCTCAGATATGTACTTCTCTTTCATATCACCTTAAAATAAAAACTACTAAATTGATGTTAAAATTACCAAGTTCTCCGTCGCCAGCCTGGTGATCTCGTGCTGCATGTACGCTTCGGTCTGCGTTTGAGGAGATTTGTTCAAATTGAAGGAGAGCAGTTTCTCTTGCTTTTGGATTTGCTCTTGCAACCTGTCCATCTCTCCACGCCACTCGTCTCGCTGGCTTCGCCATCCCTTCTCCTTGGACTGCAGCTCGTCTTCCAGTTGTCTTGAAAGGTAACGAAAGAAAATTGTTATTAATTCGTTAGATGCTTCGAAAGTCTTCCCATCTACTCTCAGGGGTATCGATTCGAAATAGGTATCCACTGTATAGACTCACTCTCTTGAGGCTTTTCGCTTCGTCTTAAGTCTACGGTATAACGAAGGGCATGCACAAATCACAGAAGACGATTAGACACGCTATTCTTTGACTACTTGCAAACTTTCGTATTTAGACATCGATGAAATAGGAGAAAGAGTGAAAAGAGGCATGGCCGGGTCGAGTTTTACCTGTTTATCTTCTTCTGGGCTTCGAAGGCCAGCACCAGCTCCCCGTCCTCGTTTATGATGTCGACGTCCCTTCCGTAATTCGAACCTAAACTTTTCATTCTTCGGGTATGATCGGCCAATACGCTGTGAAGCTGGATGCACTCTTCTCTACGTCGAGCGAGCTCTTCGTGAAGCGCCTCGAATTGTCCTGTGGAGTCGTTATTAATTCATTTGCATCATTAGCGTATATATATACGCTCAGTTTTCCTAGTCACTATCACCGGAACGCATATATATGCTCAATTTTACTGGTCACTATCATTCAGCCTGAAATTTGGTGATAAGTACCCTCCTCTTCATACTTCGTTATGATGCAAATGGGTTAAGACTATAAATTTACACTATTATACTATCATTCAGCATGAAATTTGGTGATGAGGACCCTCTTTTTCATACTTCCTTATGATACAAATAGGTGAAGTTTATAAATTTACACGGAAACAAAAACTTCTTTTTGAGTTCATAATTCGTCTTTCGATTAGGTCTTACCCATCAGAGTTTGTTGAGCAGTTGTGGAATCTGCTTCGGAGACCGTTTGTCTTAGAGAGCCCAAATCTTTCCTCAATTTCTCGTTCTCCATTTCCAATTCTTGAAGCTGTCAATACATGTATCGAGTATTACAAACAAATGTATTGAGTATTACAAATAAATTCGAAAATTGTACCGAGTTATTCTTCTTAAGATTTTTTTCTTTAAACGCGTGTAACCTTTTTAAACAACTTTTTATGAAATCTTAAATATAGCATACTGACGTCATAATATCATTCCTGGAAAAATGACATCATTTTGAAATTTACATGATATTACATCAATTTTTAGCGATACATCGCCGTAATCGGAATTTCACGAGAAATCGAACGAGTCTAAAATTATCACGTTAAAACATTTTAATCAAAATTATGAAGCCAAATGCGTTGCACCTTTACTTAAAATAATATACACTTAAATAATAATAACGCGAAATAATCTACACTTTTCAGCAGAAATTATGACATCATGATATACTGGTTTTCATGAAAAAATGTTATGACGTCAATATGTTATATATTAAATTTAATCTGAACTGGTTAAGGCGATGTGAAAGCGACGTCAAAGTGGTTTCGTTTATGAAACTTTTCATCGTACTGAGTGTACCGAATCGTTTCAAACGAAAATATAGACATGAAAGCTATAAAGAAGGTCCTGATACTCATGAAATTGAAATGTATTAACCATTTGTTTATAGACATTTTCAAAATTTCTGATAAAAACTGAAATTTTAAGAGTATCAGGGCTTTCCTTGTAGTCTCGATGTCCATATTATAAAGTTCATATTATAATGTTCTTATTACAATGTTCACATTATAATGTTCTTATTACAATGTTCATATTATAATGTTCGTATTATAATGTTCATACTATAAAGTTCATATTAAAAAATCGTTTCAAAACGATTCGGTACACCCAGTCCAGAGAAAATTGTCATGAACGATTGGCTGTTCAGATGTCACTTTCACATCCCCTTAAAAAATAAAACAATGTTATTCGAGTTTCTAGGAGAAAATCATAAAAGGGATGATCCGTATGTTTGTATAAATTTTAAGTATGAAAGCTTTATTTTGCAAACCCTGAATGAATCTTGCGTCCTGGACGCCTCCTCGGAGGTGTCGCGCTCCAGCTCGTCGACCATCCTGAAGAGCCTGTGGTTCTCTCTTTCAAGATCTTTCAATTTTTGCTGCAGCTTCAGGACGAGACCTACGTCTACTGGTGGTTGAGCTGGACCATTCGCTTCCAAAGGAGATTTTCCAACCCTGGTGTCCACTTCCGGAGGACTGTCGGAACGTTGCTGGCTCCAGTCTATGGTCTCAACTCTGGAGTACACGGTCGACGAGGATGCTGTGGATCTCACCGAACCGTAACCAAAATCCTTTGAACATATAAATACATAAAATGCCACATACGTATCTCGATAAGCTTCCGTTTAAGTCCGTGAAAACCCGACAATATAGATATGGAAAAACAATATTTCGGACTGACCAGTTAGCACGGGTGATGAGATGATAAGGTTCTAATATAATAGATATACCTACAATGTAATAAATTAGAAAAATACGTAATATCACGGAGTTTGATAAGCGCTTGCCAAATATTTGCTCGAACATGTTCGTATTTCACTGTAAAATAGGCAAAAGCAATAAGTAATCGATCGCAGTACTTTCGGTCGACTTTATCATCCCCTTAATTTGATAGGATAAAAGCGAAAAGGTCACTGTACTTTTCACCTTTAACGGATAAAAATGACTCTTTAAGGAGAAAGAAAAGAATTACGGTGTTCTGATCGTCCTGGGGAACTTCCGTGTTGGGAGCAACCCCGCTGTTGCTGGACGCATTGCTGAGAGAGCGAGAATGCCCAGGAACGTGCTGGGCGAGTTTCTGTTCGAGCATTTCAGCATGGTGCTCCAGCTCGTGGTATTCCTTTAATAATCTCTGGTAAGCGCCTCTGTCTTGATCCTGGTCAAGCAAAAGTAGATCTTTCTCCTGCTCCAATCTGTGCTTCAGATTCTCCTCGGCACCTCTCAGGTTCGTCTTCAGTTTCTCGGTGGCTGCTCCGAGGTCTCGCTTCAGCTTCTCATTCTCCTCGCGCATCTTCTGCATCTCCTCCTCCTTCGACTTGGCGGTTTTCACCTTGTCCTGCAAGTAAAAGAAGTAAACTTGGAAACGTCGCCACACTTTATTCGCTATTCTCGAGGTCGAACCTGCAGAATGTCCATCTTTTCGTCTCTCTCCTTCTGGACAACCTCTTTTATTTTCTCCATCTCGCGCTCCTTCTCAGCCAGAGCACCATTTAGCTTCTTGTTCTCCGACTCTACGGTCTTGAAGACCTCCAGCTTGGACTTGAGCTCGCCCACTTCGTGCTGAGCCGCTTTTAGATGCTGATTCTCCTTCGCCTGTTGGGTAATAAGAAATGTAGTACGTTCTGTCGTGTCTTGACGGGGTGAAAATATTCCTGTCAGGTACAGGAAAAAAATTATACACATGTAAATACTATTTAAACCGTTATTAACCGTATTTTTAGGGATATACAATCTTTTTTCTTAAAGAAACTCTTCTAAAACTTCAAAGTCATTTTCCAAACCATGCTACATTTCATGCATCGTCATAAAATATCTGAGAAAAATGTTGCTTCCGCATAGTTCATATTTTGCACAGACGTCGACAGAATATGTGGCTATAGAAATGACCACCGACAACTATGTACCAGCAAAGTTACTCCAAATCTGAGTTGTCCATTAAGATTTTCTCCCTACTATTTCCATACTTTGATAACATAACTTTTTTAAATTATTAAATCCTATCGGAATTTAACGAAAACGGTCATTTCTGAGCAGACGAAACACTCTGAAAAAATTGCTCTGCCTAAATGCTTATGACAAACGAAGAATGAACACCAAGATACGGCTCTTTACAATCCATCATAATTCAAACATTATTCTATATAAAATGATAAATATTTATACCAATATATACCTAAAAGTATGGACAATAACACGTTTAAACTGTATTTAAATATCGCGTTTCATTTTTCTGCTGTACATGATGAAAAAATGGATGGCTTTAACAGCGTCAACCGGTGAGAGCCCCCTTAATATGATCATTAACATTAATAAACCGAAAACAAAGCCTCGATATCTCCATTCAATTCGATTAACGTACCATCTCATTGATCTTCTGCTGCAGCATGATGATCTTCTTCTCAAGGCCCTTGTTGAGCGACTTGACGTGTTCCACACTTCTAGCCTCGGCTTTCAGCCTCCTGAAGACTCTCTTAGCCAAGTACTTCCTGGCACAAGACTGTACAATGACGATGTCCCTCAACTTCTTCTCGCAGGCTTTTCTGACCAAATATCCCCTCGCGTATCTCTGAATAACAGTGGCAGCAGCATCGTCCTGCATCCTTCTGAACTTCGCGCGAGCGATGGCACCTCTTCCGTATTTCTGGAGTCCCAGGACGGTGTGTCTCACCTGTTGGAACCACTTCCTCTTCAGCCAGCCTCTGACATACCTCTGGATCTTCACAGCAGCCCTCTGCCTTCGTACTTCCTGCGCCTTCTTCCTGGCGAGGTATCCTCTAGCATGCCTCTGTAAGCCAAGAATGGCTCTGCGGATCTTCCTGTACCTGATCCTGCATATGAACCCTCTGACGCTCTTCTGGATCATTATGCAAGCATCTCGCTGTTTCTCTGCTCGTAGTTTCTCCAGGTAGGCCACCTGGCCAGCCCGGAAGAGCACCTTCGTCTTCCCGAATTTAAATTTGTCCTCGTCTCTGATGCAGGTCGCCAGGATTCGCCGGCATGTCTCCCGCAGGTCGTCCCTCTTGATGTCCTTGAACTTGCAGAGACTTCGGTATCTCTGAAAGAATTCGGGATAGGTCCTTTGGCTCGGGTATCCCGCAGCCGAGATCCTGATCGTCTCCAGGACTCCGCAAGCTCGCAATTGCTGCACCGCCATCACGGGGTTGTACTCGAAGGACTCCTTTGTCTCGTTCGGTTTGATGCAACGAACGTAATGAGGCGTTGTCGCGTTCAACGTGGCCATCAGAAGGTTCAGGGAGTCTCGGAACTGCGAGCCCACCTGAAAATATTGTCCTCGTGGATGACTTCGATTTAACCCGAGATAAAAATAACACGCGACACCCGGAGGATTATTGAAAATCGATGCCAGCCCTTTTTCTTTTGTTAATTAAGAAGACGTAGATTGTACAGGGGTTCCTGAGTTTATTAAAGAAAAGGACCCCCAGTTACCGTTTTCTTATTCTGTTTGGGGGCACTGGGTGTAGACTTCTGAGCTGAGATCTTGACCCTAGCGTTTGGCACCGCCAGTTTCGGGTCCTCGTCGCAGAACAGCCTCTTCAGCAACTTGTTCTGCAAGAAATCACCCTTGAGGAATTATCTGAAGAGTCTTCAAACCCTGATAAATGATGCAAAGCCTATCTCTTACATGGCCATCTCTCAGGATGTCAATTTGCTCCTCGATGACGGTGTCTCGATTTTTCTCCAGGAATCCCGTGGCATCGTACTCGACGCGATCCGCAAAATGGAGAATGATGAATCCAGCGGTTCCAAATCTCGGTTTCTCAAAATGCTTCGACTTTCCGCACTTCGCATAAAGCTTCTCCGCCCAGGAACAATCGGTTCCCTTCGGCATCTGAAATGGAAGCAAAGATATAAATACCCTCGGAAACGTTGTTGTAAAATCCAGGCAAAGATGCAACGTAATCAAGATCCTATTAAGGTGAAGTGAAACACGTCGAGGAACTTGATCAACGTTGATAAAGAAGATTTTTCTAAATTTCTACGTTGCCGACGTTCGTTTTTATATTGAGAGCTGTGTCGAATTAGATTGGGTATTGTACCAAATGGCATACTCCACCTATCGTTTTCGTACAATAAATATCAAGAAATCGAAGTAAAACTCCAGAAATCCTCTGGATTCGTGCTTTCTGGGGCCCTAATTGACTGCAGAGGGACCCCCCGCGCCATCTGTGATTTCCAGGTCAATTAAATTTTCACTCCGAGACCTTGTATTCCCATCGTTTTAGTATAGAAGCGCATACAACACTTTTTTTACCTTTATCTCGTTCAAATGCGAGTTTATCGATTACCAGAATGTTCTAAATTGTCGTAAAATTGTCCTGACCCTTTCGATTCTCATATCAGAGCCTTCGATAATTGTATATTCATCGAAATATGAGAGCTCGACGCCATTTTGGTTCTGGTCTGAGTTAAGTTTAAAAAATTTTTCCAAAACTCCAAATTTTGAATGTGTCAGGACAATTCTTAGATGATCAGGAGTGATGTGTCAAAGTTTCGGACAGTTTGGTCTAATACCCTTACGAAAAAGTGTTGTATTCGAATCGACTGATTTCAAGGGGGTTTCACTTCATCTTAAGGCCTTGAGATATTTCCCATTTTTGGTGATATTTCATTCCAAGAAGAGAATCTTACTCGGCACTCCTCGTCCAGCAAGTCTAATATTCCCAGCCTCGTTTCTATCAGGTCGATGCAGGGCTGATTATCATAAAAGTCGATGAAGGTCCACTCGATCTCTTCCTTAAGGTACTCCTCTTGCTCCAGCTTGAACACATGCTGGTTGAATTGCTGCTGCAGCTTCTCGTTAGCGTAATTTATGCAGAACTGCTCGAAGGAGTTGACCTCGAAAGTCTCGAATCCGTAGATGTCGAGGACCCCGATGAAGCACTGCGACTTGCTCTGGGACTGAAGGGAGTTATTGATACCCGCCACTATCCAGTTGAAAAGCTCCGCGTAGATGTGCTTGGCCAGAGCATCTCTGGCAGCTGTCGCTTGCTCTGCACTCATCGACTTCAGAAACGTCTCCCTTGTCGAGACGATCTTCCGGTGGCACAGCCATTTTCGCATGGCGTTCACGTCTATCCCCAGCAACTCGGCGATGATCAGTAAATGTTTGTCGGACGTCTATTAAAATATATAACAATTATTTCCCTGGCACAGAAGTTAAACAACAGGACCGCCACGCGTATCAGAAATGAAACCTCTTCGCAAGTTCAAGAAGGATATTCAATGTTATTAATTATTACTAAAGACGGTTAATTATTCTTAATTACCCTTTCGACAAATGCCCTTACGTGTTCGNGAAACCAAGTCGATGTATCAGCGAGCTTGAGATATATTAAGAAATTGCTTAAGAAATTGAAAAGCTTAAGATATATTAAGAAACAAAAAACATTTTACCCCATATTTTCTCCTATACCGTTCACTATTTGTTTAAATACATAACAATTACTCTTATCGAACAATAGCCCATCGACAAACTAGAGGAACTGTTCTTTAACTGAAACACAAATTTCGGCGGATAATGTTAACAGAAATAATTAACCCTTTAACGAATACTGAATCACTTTGACCCAATGTCGTCGAATCATAAACGTATACAAAAAATATAAATGTAACTCTTCAAAAGCCCGATTCCATTATTTTTTATTCCGTCTATTGTTAATCGCAACTACCTACGTGAATGTGTGATATAGAAAAAGATTACACATGCAAAGTGCTAATTTATTATATGACATTGATGTTCGTTTAAGGGATAAAGCAGGATCTTCGAAAGCGTCTACTGAGATGTTCTCTAATTCAACAAAAAATTTTTCGGGATATTTAAATGCAATTAATTTGAACAATTGTCGTAAACGCTTACCGCGATGTAACAGCCCTCGGTATCATCGGACACCGTGCCCTGCTCACCCTGGGCATCGGTGTTTGGCACAATGTTAACATTCCCTAGATGCAAAATGGCGGCCAAAATTCGCAAAAGATCATCCTGTTGCCTAGGGGAGAAGCCTAGTAAATTGAGCGCCGTGACCGTGTCATCGAAGCAGGCTTCGTCGTTCACTCCGCTGATCTTGGGATCGTTTCCTTGGTTCAGGTAATGGAACGTTTCCTGTCGTGTCAGGTGCAAATGCGGCAGCTTCTTCGAGGATGCGCACATCTGATAGAAAATGTGGTAATTCCTTTCCTGGTTTGCCTACGCTCAACATGAACCATGTCAGCAATTATAGAACCAGTTGAAAAATACTGGTTAAGGTGATATGAAAGGCGCTGGGAAATTTAATTCAGGTCAATAAATTAAAATTCATCTGTACCCTTCTTGGTGGTAACGTCATTTTGAATACTCAAGGGGTAACATAAACTGGCGCGTCCCGTTACCGACATTTATGTTTATGGTGAAGTCTTTTACGGTCCACGTTGATAATTATACAAAATGAAGCGTTCCATGTGTCATTTCAGCAAAGTAATGATGAAAAGATCGACGTAAAACCGTCGAAATCCCGGGAATTCATTATTCTAACGACTGTTTAGGACCAACGTCGCCATCTGTGACGTTTAGCTGCAACTAAATTTTTGCTCTAAAAATAAGCGTTACCCCCCGAGACAAGCCAGCATTCGCTTGCAACCGTTGGTGAAAGCATTGTCCATATTTTCCCATCGGACTCTATTCCATTTCTATGGTATTCTAAATTGTTCGAGCTAGGTCTTGAAACTCATCATTTTCGATTCTAGGCCTCCAAGAAGAGTAAACAGCGAAAACGTTCACGGGCCACGCCACGTTAGTTGTAGTCCATGATCAGTAAATAAATTTTAGATGAAAAATGAAATTTCTTGAGTTTCAGGACCTACTTTAGGGACTCCATATCTATGTGGTCAAATTTGAAACGAATCAGTCGACCCTATTCGGAGAATACTTTCCCCAACGATTTGACATCTTAGATATATATAGCCTGACTCTTTCATATCACCTTAATAGACGTCATTTTGATTACGCTCACCTGGAAAACTACTCTTGACTTTTCCAACAAGTAGGTTCTCATGCTTGCCCCGGTGATCTTGTAGTGCTCGTTGAACTGGATCTCTATAAACTTTCCGAATCGGGATGAATTGTCGTTTCTGGTCGTTTTGGCGTTTCCTATGGCCTCCATGACCGGAGATGAGGCGAGGACCTTCTTCTCGACTTGCGTTTCCGTCGACGAGCCGCCCACCGTAGCAAAATATCGCATTGCATATTTTGCCGATACGGTTTTGCCGGCCCCGGACTCTCCGGAGACGATGATGGACTGATCGTGGCCTTCTCTACGAAAAAAGAAAAAAGAAAAAAAAGGTAATATTAAAAGAGGCACTTAACGTGGTACGAAATTTGGCATCTTAGACATTAAATTAACAATAATCGTCACTCATCAGCCTTGAAAAGAAAAATAATCTTTAAATCCTCAAGTTCCTTCTTCATCTTCTCCGAAAATATACATCACAAAGAGAGAACTTGCGAACACCTCAGTTGGTACAGAACGAAAGATCAAATGAAATTTTAATTATGATTTATGACCTATCACATTTCATGCATCGTTCATCGTCTCAATTTCATTACATGTCTTTTATACGCTTTTCACTCAAGATGAAAATTGCCTATACTCGCAGGTATCATTACTATTGAGAATAGAGGGTAAACAAGAGCGATTTTTTTTTTCCAAAATCAAGCGTACATATACCAAAATCAGAAACTATGTAAGTTCCCAATTTAGTGTTCCTCGACGGCAGCGAATAATGTTGAAAATTAGATGGTTTTACCAAATGTTACGGTACATTTTGTCCCACGTAATACTAGTACATTCCAAAAATTACATTTTGAACGGATATTTTCATGGATGTAGTTCCACGTTATAAATATTTTTTCCCAACAATTTATTCCTGCACTTCCTGACCTCTCGAATTTAATGCAGGCTTCTGCGGCGACCGCGAAAATATGTTGAAAATCACATACTTTAATCAAATATTATAGGACATTTTGCCCCACGTAATACAACTACATTCCAAAAATTACATTTCGAACAGATATTTTCATCGGTGTAGTTCTACACTACTTCTTCAACGATTTATTCCTGCACTTCCTGACCTCTCCAATTTAATGCAAGCTTCTGTCGCGACCGCGAAAATATGTTGAAAATCACATACTTTAATCAAATATTATAGGACATTTTGCCCCACGTAATACAAGTACATCTATTCCAAAAATTACATTTCGAACAGATATTTTCATCGGTGTAGTTCTACACTACTTCTTCAACGATTTATTCCTGCACTTCCTGACCTCTCCAATTTAATGCAAGCTTCTGTCGCGACCGCGAAAATATGTTGAAAATCACATACTTTAATCAAATATTATAGGACATTTTGCCCCACGTAATACAAGTACATCTATTCCAAAAATTACATTTCGAACAGATATTTTCAACGGTGCGGTCCTACACTACAAATATTATTTATCCAACGATATATTCCTGGACTTGCTTACCTCTCCAATTTAGTATAGGCCTCCTCGGCGACCGCGAAAATGTGCGGCTCCAGATCGCCCATCGCCTGGCCCCGATAGGCCCATATCGTGTCGTTTCCATAGATAGGAAGCTCATTGTACGGATTGAACGCGACAAGGACGATTCCGCAGTAAGTATAAATGCAGTGCCGCTGAAACCGGATCTGGAGATTGTAGAGAACCGCGGGCTCGTGCAAAAAGGACAGCGACGTAAGGTTATTCTCCCCGAGGAGGATGTCCGGATTCCTTAAGGGAGGTAGGTCCTGGTCGGACTTGATCACTAAAGTTCTGGTCTGATTCGTGTCCTCTGTTTGCACCCTGACGGTGTTCCGATTTAGCTTGTAGTCCTCCAGGAGCACCGCTCCTTCCCAGACCTTCTCCCGATGCGGCACCCATACTCGGCTACCCTAAATGGAATAAAAAATAGGCATTAATATATACCTGTCAATAATATAATATAATAATACCGTAACTAGCATGCCTCGTCACGGCTTTGCTCGCGGTATATATTGTACAAGCAGAAATTTGTAAAAACACATTTTACCCCTTTTCCCTCCCTGAAGGATTGGTTAGGGTAAAATGCTCAATTGGTTTTTAAACATTTATCTGTGTTTCTTTTTATAGGTAGAAACCAAGTCGATGTATCAGCGAGCTTGAGATATATTAAGAAATTTGTAAAAACACATTTTACCCCTTTTCCCTCCCTGAAGGGTTGGTTAAGGCGAAATCCTCAATTTGTTTTTAAACATTTGTCCGTGTATCTTTTTTTAGGTAAAAACCAAATCGATATCTCAGAAAGCTTGAGATATATTAAGAAATATGTAAAAACGCATTTTACCCCTTTTCATCCTCTCAGGGGTTCATTTTCGAAAAAATCCCTTCTTAGTGAACATCTATGTTACAAAAGGAACATAACCCCCAAATTTCACGTTTCTATGCCCAGCGGTATGAGCTGGACGATGTTGAATTAATCAATGAATAAGTGGTACTTGACTTTTACATACATATAGATATATAGTACTCATTGCATATAACATTACTACTCCTCAAAAGTTTCTTATATTTATTAGTTCAGTGATTCATAATTATATCGAAGTCGCGGAACGCTTTTGGTTATAAGGAACATTTGCGGTCGACAAAATCATTAAGGTCATAAAACTAACAACGAAAATATGCAAGAAATACGTATGCGAAACCCTCGTGAGAATTAAGAATAAGAAAAGAGATAATAATTAATTGGAGACATTATCTAATCCTTTATTAGAAGTATTTTTTTCCCAATTTCCCGGACGTCTCGAATAAATATTTTACAAGCGTTACAAAGTTACTTTATTCAAGAATTTTGAAACGATTCGTAAGTGTATGTCTCGGTAACTTTTTTCTCTTGACAAAGTAAGAGTTGATTATTGCTTAAGTGTCGTTGACCCCATTGAAGAAGCATATAATTAATTTAATATCGTTGTTTAACGTTATAGGGAGCTTTGGAGGAAGTAGCTAAGAATTTGCACGGCTGCCTGCCCGCGCTTATCGGAATTCCTGTGCAAATTCTGGAACCGAGCGGCTGTAAATGGCGGAGCTGCCCTTTGTTGCGGGAAAGTTTTCACGGGTCGGTGAAAAGAAATGCGAGACGCTCAATTACACACCCAGCGGGCAGAAAAACTGGCGTGTATAACAGATAAACGCTTTGCGGAATAAATGAGTAACAGCCTAATGGAGGGTAAAGCGATTAAGATGACATGAAAGGCGCTGAGAAATTTAATCGACGTCGAGAAAACAAAATTCATCTATACCCTTTTTGGTGGTCATGTCGTATTCAATACTCAAGTGGGAACATAAGATGGCTCGTCTCGTTACCGACATTTGTTTCTGTCATTAAACACTTTAAGGGGGTGAAATCACCTTCCAAATTAAGACATGTCAAGGGGCGATTTGGCAGTTTCACCCACAAGAACATATTTTTTAACCAATCGACCTGGAAAAGCTTTCTCATAACGAGAAATGATAAATATAATTTTCGGAATTAAGAAGAAACAAAAATTAAGGGNCAGGCCTTACTTTGGATGGTGGTTTCACCCCCTTCAAGTGTTTAATGGCAGATAAAAAATCGATCTCTCCGATTTCATTTCTTTTATAATATGTTATAGTAGACTAAAAACCAAGCGACAGGTATTTTTTTTTATCTGTCATTAAACACTTTAAGGGGGTGAAACCACCTTCCAATGTAAGACATGTCAAGGGGCGATTTGGCAGTTTCACCCACAAGAACATAATATTTTTTAACCAGTCCACCTGGAAAAGCTTTCTCATAACGAGAAATGAAAAATATAATTTTCTCAATTAAAAAAAAAAATTAAGGGGTGAGCCACCCCTCACAGGCCTTACTTTGGATGGTGGTTTCACCCCCTTAAGGTGTTTAATGGCAGATATAAAAAAATACGTGTCGCTTAGTTTCTAGTCTACTACAACATATTATAAAAGATATCAAATCGGAGAGATCGACCTGGGATACCTTCCTTGTGAGAGAAGTTTCTCAGATTTTCAAGGCAGTGCAGCCTACGTGTTCGTCTTGCAATTCCTGCTGAAAATGCGGAACCGAGAGGCTCCTCCGGATGGCGAAGCACTTTGTTACGAGGAAATTTTCACGGGCTAGCAAAATGCAATACGGAACGCTCAATTACACGGCCGGCAAGCAGGAGAACCGGCCGTGAACTTTACTTTCGCTGTCTTACCTTCGCCTCGTCTCGCTTATCTCTTGCATAATGGAATAAATTAATAATCGGCCAAGTGCCGAATGAAATTAATAGGCCGGCGGAACTTTTCTATCCTCCTCAGCGGTGATACTTTTACGCTGCGAAAAATAAAAAAAAAAACGCGACTTCGTGTTTAGGAAATTTATTCAGAGCATCCTTTATGTAACAACACAATATACGCATGTACAGGGTTAACCAGAGATACTTTATCAGTGTCTGCATATATTTTGCGCGCATTTACATACACTCACACGGACACGCTGCTCCGATATGAGACATTAAAGGGTCAGGACAATTTTACGACAATTTAGAACACTCTGGTAATCGATAAACTCGCATTTGAACGAGGTAAAGGCAAAAAAAAGTGTTGTATGCGCTTCTATGCCAAAACCATGGGAATACGAGGTCTTGGCGGGAAAATTTAATTGACCTGGAAATCACAGATGGCGCAGGGGGTCCCTTTGCAATCAATTAGGACCTCAGAAAGCATGAATCCAGAGGATTTCTGAAGTTTTACTTCGATTTCTTAATATTTATTGTACGAAAACGACAGGTGGAGTATGCCATTTGGTACAATACCCAATATAATTCGACACAGCTGTCAATATAAAAACGAACGTCGGCAACGTAGGCATTTAGAAAAATCTTCTTTATCGACGTCGATCAGGTTCCTCGAGGTGTTTCACATCACCTTAAGAACCTCTAGACTAAACTTTCTATGCGACTGATTTCATTCGATAAGCTACCACGAAAATGATGTATTGCGGAGAAATTTAATATACTCTTTTATTGTCTAACTTGTTTTGCGGAATCGTGTCCCGTGTTTCCTGAACGTCCATTCTGGGACACCCTGTATACACCTTCGCGTGTTTCCGTAGATATACTCGAGTACCCTGTGCAGATATATATATGTGTATTTATTCTATATAGACTTATTAGATAATACATGTGTACATGCCGGCTGATGTGTACCGTACATGCACGCCGGTGTATTTGAAATTGTCTGCGTGTCGAGTAGTCGCTTTGCCAGCCGACCACCAACAAACTACGGCTTCTCTCCTGTATCCCAACAGTGCGACTTTTTCCACGTCGAACCGTGTCGGAAATATTTCACAAGCCGCCATTTTGTTCCCTTCCGTTTCCCAGCAGAATGTATTTCCCCTCTTTGATATTAAATTTCTGATGCCGATTATCTCACTGGTTGTCGTTAAATAATGCGAAAAGCAAATCTACCCTGGTCTTGTCGAGAAAGATCGCTCAACAAGAGAGAAATTAAATCTAATAACTACAATCAATGAACTACGGCCGTTCTCGTATTACACAATTATTCTGCATGAAAGATGTCAGAAAGATATCGTAAGTCGCCTCTATTCCTATTATTAGTAAATTATATCGTAAAAACAAGCACTTCTAACTATTATCGATAAACTACGGTTTTCTTTTTTGTTCTCCATGTAATTAAAAAATTGGACTTTTCTCCACACCGAACCTTCGCAGAAGTATTTCATAAATTACATAATTCTACAATACTTCTAAAAACAATGTCCGACTTCAGCTATCTACAACAAAGAAATTAAATTTAATAACTACGATCAATGAACTACGGCCGTTCTCATATCACACAATTGTTCTACGTGAGAGATATCAGAAAGATATCGTAAGTCGCCTCTATTCTCATTATTAGTAAATTATATCGTAAAAACAAGCACCTCTAACTATTACCGATAAACTACGGCTTTCTTTTTCTTTTCTATGTAATTAAAAAATTGGACTTTTTTCCACACTGAACCTTGGCAGAAGTATTTCATAAACTACATAATTCGGCAATATTTCTAAAAACAATGTCCAACTTGAGCTATCATGAGTTGTCCTTTTTCTCTCCATGTAATTAAAAAATTGGACTCTTTTCCATATCGAACCTGCCAGAAGTATTTCATAAACTACATAATTCTCCAATATTTATAAAAAAAATGTCCAACTTCAACTATCACGACCTCTATTTAGCAACGAGATGTGCGCATCTTCCTTATTCCTTATACTTGAAAAACAAAGAGATTCTTTAAGCGCAAAAAAGGAACAAAAAATTAAATCCAGCTACCGTTTTAATAAACTAAGACTTCTCTTGAATATCACAATGACCCTAGTTTTATCGCGTCAAATGAAGCTACGAATATTTCGTAAGTGTGTAGACAGTTTAATTCCTGATATTCTTTTGTCGGCCCAGAAAATATGCGCAATTATCATTAGAGACATATATAAATGAGATTTTTATTAAGACATAATTTAAATTGATTTCAATGCAAAAGTGTACGTTATCGTTAACTACCTCTAATCGTGATTGCTAGCTCTGGTTTATCTCGACATTTTAAGGCGACGCCCATTTTTCAGATATTTCAGATAACCTCACTTATCGATGAAAAAAATTCGATAATCCAAGAAAATAGAAATTCGAAATTTCATAAATCATGAAATTCGACAAAAAGAAAATGACATATTCAGTGGATAAATAAATCGGTGAATAAATTATATGAATAAATGGATAAAATTACTTAAAGAAATGAAGAAAATTCTTTTCTGATTCGGCTTAACCCTTTGGCTACTAAGAGCGCCTAAAGGTGCCCGACGTTTGGTTCAATATTGCCTGCACGGTCAGACGA